CCCCCCCTTTTTCCCCCCCCCCCCCCTCCCTTCTTTCCGTCTCCCCCCTCTTTCCTCTCACCCCCATCTCCTTTTTCCTCCCATTATTTGCTTGTTTCTTTTTCCGCCCGTTAGCTGAACAAAAGACTTTCCTCGCGTGTCATTTCCCCGTACCCCGTCCGTTTCTTCGTTCCCCCCTCTTCTCCGTCTTTCCCCCCCCCCCTCTCCCCCCCCTTTTACTCCTCATCCTTTTTCTCCCTCCCGCCGCCCCGCCCCCCGACCCCGCTCTTTTTACCACCCCCCTTCTTCTTCTTTCCCCCTTCCCCCTATTTCTTTGGCCCCGCCCCTAGCCGTATTTTGTACTTTCCCCCCCCACCCACTTCTTCCGGGCGTTCCTATTGCTTTTTCCCCCCCCCGCCGCCCTGACCAAATGAGGACCCAGCCCCCCCCCTCCCACCCTCGCTTTTTCCTACCCCCCCCACCACAAGCGCATTTCCCCCTCTTCCCCCGTCAGTTACCTCCACCAAGATTTTCCAACTTCCCTCCCCTCCCCCTCCCCCTCCTTCTTTTGTTTCCGTGTGTCTGACCCACCCCCCCCCTTTGCCCTCCCCCTTTTTCTGCCACGCCCCTTCCCCCTTTCCCCCCCCTTTACCCCCTCCCCTTCTACGCCTTTGTTTTTTCCTCCCCACCTTTCCGCCGTATTGCACTTAACTTCCTAGTTGTTTCCCACCTTCCACACTGTAGCCACCTTCATCCCCCCCACCCTAACCCTTCTTAGTACCCTCTTCCCCCCCCCTTTCCTTTCCCACCCCCCCCTTCTCCCTGCCCTCCTACTGATTAACTTTTGCCTTACCATACAACAGTTGTTCCCTAGCCCTTTCCTATCACCCCCCAACGATCCCATTCGTACCGGTCCCCAAACCGCGACTCCCCCCCTTTGCCTTTCTCTCCGCTCACTGAGCCACTAGCTTCAGTCTCTTCCCTCGGAGACCCCGCCGGGCCCCACCGTAACTTAAAGAAGGTGGGAACTCCCCCCCTTTCTCCCCCCCCCCCCCCCCCCCCTTCCCACCTTTTTCCCCCCACGCGCTGCTGCCCACCCCTGCCCCCCCCCCCTCCTTCCCCCCCTTTTCCTTCCCTCTCCCCACTCTGCCGGCGCTTTCCCCGCATCTCCCCCCCCCCCCCCTCCTTTTTTTCTTACTTTTCCCACTTCTCCCCCCCCCCCTCCCCCTCTTCTCCTCCCGCCCCTTTACTTCCCCAAACTCCACCCCCCCCCTTTTTCCCCCCCCCCCTGCCTCCCCCCTCGTCTTCTTCCTCCCTCCCGTTTCCGCCTTTCACCCTTCCTCACTCCCTCCCCCCCCTTCCCTTTTTTTTTTTTTCCCCCCTGTTTTTCCACCTACCTTTCCCCCCCTCCCCGCTTCTCCCCTCCCCTTTCCCCTTGTTTTTTCCCTTCTCTTCTCCTTCCTCCCGGTTCGTTTCTCCCTTTGCTTTTGCAACACCCTTCACCCCTAACCCAAACATCATACAACCTTCCCAAGAAATATCTCAACCATTAATTCACCCCAAATTCCATATATCTCCCATTTGCAATTATTTCAACCCGGCACACCTATTCAGTTTAGGGAAGCGGGGCCTTTTGCGTATTCACCCCCCCCCTCTTTACTCCCTCAAGATCTAAGTGCTGACTAGCGCAATACCCACTACAACTACGAACCCACAACGTTTTTCCCGCCCGCGGGCCACCCTGCCTTGGCAGCTTACTTTCCCCTGCCTTCTTCCCCCTTTTGTCATTTGTTATCATTCGGCGACCTTTTCTTTTTCCCTTTTTCCCATGTTCTTTTTCGTTTTCGGGCGTTTTTTTGTAGAAACAACGGTCCCGGTCCCCCGCAACAAAAAAGAGCCCACTATCCTTTATTTCGCCCCCGCCATCAAATCGCTCCCTAAGGCATACTCAACTGATTGCCCGGAAACATTTCAGCGTATTTTCCCTTTTTACCTTTCGGATTAGTCTCTTTTCCCCCTCCCCCCCTTGTGACCTCCTTTTCTCGATTCGCCGCCCCCCCCCCCCCCCGTCGCCTTTCTATAAAACAATTATATCGATCTTGGCATTTTCATGGTTTCTTTACATCGATTTCCTGCTACCCTAAAATCCATATTGCCCCCTGAAATATTGAGTCCTGGGCCGATGCACCTGTCTGGGATCCCCACACATCTTTTTCCCTCTTCGCTCATCAGATTTTCCCCCTCTCTGCGGATACCTTTTCTCTTAAGGGCTTGTCAGGTTGCACATTCTAACCTTCCTAAGCCGAGGGCGACCTTGAACCTTCACCTGAACCAACTTTTACCATCATTTCCTTACACCGGGACTTCCAGGCCATGGCTTTCCCTTCTTTCCCCCTTCTCACCCTCTCCGGTTCTGCCCGTCTCCCCCACCTTCACCCCCCCCCCCCCCGTGTTTTTCTTCCTCCTCCCTAACTCCCCTCCCCCCTTCCCCCCCCCCGCCCCTCCTTTTTTCCTTCCCCCTTTCCATTCATCACCCCCTCACTTTTTTCACTTTTTCCCCCTCTTTCTTTTTTCCCCCCCCCCCCCCCCCCCCCCCCCCCCTCCCTCTTTTTCCCTATTCCTCCTCCCCCCATTATCTTCCTCTGCACCTTTCCCCCCGGTGCAGGCCCCCCTCGAGCTTTTATACGACCACCCCCCACATAACACATTTAAGGAATCGGTGGACACCGTTGCAATTTCTTTTTTTTTCCTCACTGCTGGTGATGCCGGGCGTTGCCCCCAATTCAGGATAATGAGGCCCCCGTACCACAAGACCGGTTACAACCCTCGGCCTGCTAGGTGTTTGATAACTTCCCCCCCCCTTTGTTTTTCCCCCTCCCCTTTTCCCGCGGTCACAGGCCAAAATTTGCCACATTGCTTCCCACCCAAACTTTGGGATTACGCGCATTGATAGTGACATTTGGTTTGTGGAAACCCCTTTTGGCGGTTTTTCCCCCGATGTCTTACGCACGGGTGGGAGGGAACCCCTTAAACCCACCCAGGGTCCTGCTTCGCATTCTCGCGACTTTGCAGGAGGAAGGCACCAGCCCTAACGCTTTCTAAAAGAGAGGGGAAGGGGGGAGGGGGTATTTGATTCTGTTATACCCTTCGCCGGTTCCCGATTGTGTCGTAACCTTCCCTCCCCCCCCTTTTTTCCCCCCACCCCTCCCTCTCTCCCCGCCCCCTCCCTTCCCCCCCCCTCCCCCTGCAACCCCTTCTCCCCCCGCGTTCCCTCCTGCCTCTTTACCCCTTTTCTCGCTTTTTTCTTACCTCCCGTATATGGTGTCGATAGGGAAAGCTTTTTTCCCCTCCCCCCCTCTCTCCCCCCATTTCCCCCCCGCCCTGTTTTTGCCCCCTCTTCCATCCGCCCCCTTCCCCACTTGCTTTTACCCCTTCTCTCATCCCAGACCCCCAAACTCTATTGAGTGTGGCTTCCCGGTTCTGTCTTCCCCCATTTGGTCCCGAAAAAAACCCCCCGTTTCCCTCCATTAAATCCAACTTTTTGAACACCCCAATCCTCGATCGACCACCCCATGATTGTACTCCCCGGGGTGTCTCTGGCGTCCCCCCCTCAAGCTCCGTAAACCATTATTGTTCTCGTGAATTCTTCCTTCCCCCCCGGTTGTCCTCTCCCCCTCGAGTATTATCTCACTTTCTTTGTTCGTGCCCCCTCCCCCCACGTTGCATAACTGTCCCTTCTGCTAATATTCTCGGTATTTTCACACCCAACTACACCCCCGCTTCTCCTTTGCTCTACGTGCGTTCCCCTTTTTGTAACTGGAAGCACGTCCTGCTAGCCGAGGAAAATCCAGATTTTAAATCCCAAAGAGCGCATTGCTGGTTTATCATGTTTCTTTCCTCCGAAAAATTCTAAAAGATTCTACAAGGTTAGGACATTCGATGAAACTAACTCCGAAACATTTGTTCGAATCAATGGATAAGAAAACTGTCTGCTATAGATAGCGTGAAAAAAAAATATTTCTATCATTTCTTGGATATGGATTACTCACTTCCGGAGAAATCTCAGCCTGGACCTTTGCTCCGAAATTTTCTCAGAGGAAATATGCCCCTATCTGGTTGATAGCAAAAAATTGCTGATATGATATGTATGTGCTTGTATATTGGTATGTTTTAAGTAAAGTTTTAAACTAAAAAAATTCCATTCTATGCAGATTTTCCAAAACATTTTGTTAGGAATGAGGCTAAAGTATTTTTTTCATTTATTAGATGCGCTAGGGACTGCAGGAATGAGAGGACTAGAGTTTTTTAGTTAGTTTCTTCTTTGTCAGGATACAAGTATGGAGGAAGTATCGATTTAAGCCCTCTGGCCCCTCATTTTATTTTTACAACCACCAGAAAATAAAAAGATATACACAATGAGTGCTGTGGTATTGAAGAATAGCAGCTAAATATATATTTTCATTCAATGTCTTTATGTGACGCGTACGTCGTGTTGTGAAAGTGCCAGAAAACTAAAAGTTTATAAATAAAGACATCATATGTGTCATCTACCATATGACGATCTTTTTTAGAGCGCAGACACCACCACTATGAGATATTTATGATTCCCTGTCAACAACAGTTAATTAAGTTTTCATTCTTATTAATATAAAACATAACTGCCACTGAATCTGCCTTAATCACTGGATTCTAACACCGTTTGTCAACAGTAGCTGAGGATTGATTACACATTCTAATAACTCAGAAGAAAAAAATTTAAAAAACGTATCTTTTTTGTCTCATTTAAAAATTTTAAAAATACATTTTAAGGTAATTTTGCTAAAAATGTAGACTAATATTTACGTTCGTGACAGAGATTGTTTAAGAACTTTAAACTTTTCTTTGTTTGCACTCTTTGCCTACAGTTTTTTAGTTAGTTTCTTGCTCTACATAAAAGTAGACCACCAGAATGTGAGTAAATATTTTTTAAAAAGGAAGAAAATAGATATAATAAAGGAAAAAGAAAAAAAATCAATACAGACCTTTTCCCCAATTTCGGTGAGGTCTCCTCCAGGTAAGACCTTGAGATCGGCTTTGAGGCAACACCTGTCGAGCACATCGTCATACTTAGTTCTCTCCATCTGTCGCACAAAAAGTACGTTCTGACGCACAGTGGCGTTTTGTATCCAAGCCTGCTGGGGTACATAAGCAAGGCGTGCTCCCTGAAAAAGGAAACCTCAGAATAAGCCACAAATAATATACTTACTGCTCAACAAAGCGCTAAAGTATTTCCGCTTACGGGTGTATGTTCTCTATGGTTTATATTTTATATTCCTCAGAGGCAATTCAAATCCTATCTTAGTCATTTAGTATGTTTCTTCTAGCTATGACTAACGTTTTCTTCCCTGGGATTCTGACATATTTTTTAGTATCATTATTTCAGGGAATCAAAATATAGTCAACTTCCGATTAACTAGGATTGGATTAACCCGGTATCAGATTAACTAGGCAAGATAAAAATTCAATTTGTTTATTGCGGAACGATGGTAATAATTTACTACAGTTCATTCCTGATTGCTTAGGATAATATTGAAGACAACACCAACAGTTAACTCAAAATCATTGTTAATCCGAAGGAAGTACATAGCTAAGATAATTAACAGAAAAATATCATTAACAATTTACCTGCATTTTTAATCAGTTGCAGGCTGAATGCAAAAATTTGAAAGCAGGTGACAGACCAATTTTTTTTTTCACCAAAATAAAAAAGTTTTTTTTAACGAAACAACTATGTTTAGCTAAATTTAAATTTTATTCACTAAATGTTTAATAAAACATACATAAATGGTAATAATAATGACGGAAAGGAAAAAATTCCAATTTACATTTATTTCTGTATGAAACCTTACGGGTGGGACTTGCAAGAAATTTCTTTTGGTTACACTTTCTAATTCAAACGTATTGAATATTACATAAAGGTAATGAATACTAAATATTAAATTTTCGGATTGACATGTATTTCAAGTGATTCTAATACGTTGAATCAATCACTAAATAATTTACTTTAAATTTTACTAAAAATAAACGAACTACAAAAATGTTTTCAAGCGGACTAAAGCTTGAGAATAAGTAATGACAACCTTTTTTTTTCTTTTATTTGTTAAATTTTTCTAGGACGCATACAAAAAAGACTTTGAAAAAACTTTGTATTTGAGTTTTAACTCAAAGATATTGTTCAAGTTCCGAATATTTTTTTTCTTTTATCCAATTTATAACTTTTTGTTTTCACCTCTAATGATGTTTATTCTTCCTTTATATTCCTTATATTCTTTTGTTCATTTTGCTTTGAATATTGATTTACGTAACCAAAATGAACTTATTTTCCATATTAAGCTGCTTGAAAATTCGAGCTAGTTTTCAATAGTATTTTTCTATTAATTTTGACGCGGGTTACTCTTCTTTCCTTTTTTTTTTTTTTTTTAACTGCCCTTTCACTAACCATGATTTTGAGTTAACTATGGACATGGTGCCAATTATTTTTCCGGTTAATCGAGAATCGGCTCTACATTGTAAAGAAACCGGAAGACGGTGGCAGTATTTTAGAGCACATTTACTATCAGTTCTTTATTCAGTGAATGAAAGCTATATCTAAGAAATTCTTAAAATTAAAGAAACCTTTGTTTTCAGATAAAAGTAAAGAAACCTATTTTCAGAAATCCATTATTTTTAGTTAGCAGGTGAATTGCCTTTTGTTTAGATTTCAAGCTAAAACTAAATGATATAAATGGTTGATTTTTTTTTTTTTTTTTTTTTTTTGCTATTGACTTCAAAGAATATAAATGATTACATACTGTAAATGCCTTTCTGAAAATTGAAAACCATCTGTGCACCCATTGAATCTTCTAAGTGAGCTTATTGCGTAAAGATAGCTAATTAAACAAAGTGAGCTTGTTTAGGAAACAATAAATAACTATAACATTCATTTGGCACTAAGAAAAACTTGTGCTTTTTCTAATTGTATGAAAATATATTCTTTTTCAGAAAGGATCAAGCAATCTTCTTCCGCAAGTGTACCATATTTTCTATCCCCTGAATCTGCAGGTTAAAAAAAACTATATATATATATATATATATATAGGCATAAAACTAAAAACTATATAGGCACACACACATATATATATATAGGCATAAACTTAAAGCATTTAAAGTTAAAAGTAAATTGGAGTCAAAGCAAGGTAATTCCTCAAAAATATTCATAATTGCAACCGTGTATAAGAGGTTTAACACAATATCTAAACAAATCAGAATTAAAATAAGTATTCATAATAGTACAAATTCGATAAATAAAAATGCGAAAGCGAAAAAAATATACAAGATAATACAATTTAAAAATTAACAGGTAAACAAATTTTGTTTTTAATTTTAGCTTCATATTAAGTTTCTTCATGCATACATATATAAATCAGTGGCTTAGAAAACAATTTGTGTAAGAAATATACATTATTGTTGAGACAAAGATCAGCGTATTAGATCAAATTCTTCATGGCTAAGATCGTTGTAAAATGGTATGACTAGATTTCCTGGACTTTTTCCATAACTGGTTAATATAAAAACTTACCTGGCTAACCAGTTTGAGTAACCAGAACGCTGTTAATAATGATGTAGTTTTCAGAAAAGAAGAGGAAACTTTATTAATAAATTTAGGCAAGAAAGGAAAAACAGAGCTTCCGGGGAGGGGGAATGTTTTATTTTGTTTTGTACAGACATAGGTTTTCCATACTTTTTCGGTGCTATGCACCCTTCACATATCAGCCTACTAACATTCACAGTGGTGTTAAATATTTGCATGACTTGCTATAGTAACGCCACCGCCATTGATAAAAGGTGAAGAAGGGCAGTTCAATTCGGTTGGTTCACAGCGAAGCAAGACTGCCAAAAGAGCATTGAGAAGATGTCTGCCGAATGGATGGGTTCCAGTCTCCAGTCCAGTCCGGCCCAATTCAATTCCAGCAGACCAATAGCTTAGTAGAGTCCAGTGTAACTTTGAGAGCGATTTATGGCAGGAGAACCAAGTGGCTCTTGAATCTATGCAAGATGGGATCTTCTTCCTAGTTGCTGAATAGCTGCCAGTTAAGGGCGATCATTTCCTCGGATTTTAACTTCACAAGAAGAGTCTACACCTAAGATGTTATGTTTACTTTGGATGTTAAGTTTTCACCTTTGAAAGTTTTTGTTGTTAAATAAACCATTAAGATTCTGATCAAGATTCTGATCAAAATTAAGATTCGAAGTCAGATATTTTCAATCAGGATTAGCTAAGAATAACGCCTAAAATCAACAGGTGGTGTGTTAGGTTAATTTAGTAAAAATAAATAAATTAAAATAAATTTCACAAATAATTTATGTAACATATTTTAATCAGGCACACATTGTGAACGATTTTATTTACAAATACTGTAAGGGATTTGCAAAGTGCCTATTAGATATCTTTCCTATCGTAACATCAACCCATTGATACTACATTACCGAAATTACAATGGCTAACCGTCATTTCATTGAAAATATTGCAATATTTCCCAGTATCCCAGAAAGCTAGCCAGAGGAACTGCAGTCAATATAGATTAAAGCAACTGAAACAGACGGGTTTCATTAAAGAATCAACTATGGAGAGTAACTGCATAGCAAAAGTAATTCTTCTCACTTAGTGTTTAGAGTAATGCATAGGATAAGCACTAAAAATGATTTTGCTGCTTACATGCAACGTGTTTCAAAACTCCTGCCACAATAACTAGTGAAACAGCATCTCAAAACAAACCCTTTTTATCATAGAATAAATGGTTGCACAATATGAGGTCACGCGGCGTCTTTAAGAACGCAAAGCTATGGGGTGGTTGCAAGCCCACGAACAAATTCGTGATTTTCACTTGTATCGTTCTTATTCTTTTTCAATTCATTTTATTTTTTGTATTTGCATTTTAATGTAGTTTTCTTGCACGTGCTTCTTATATCTTTGTTTTTCAAATGAGGATTTTTTTATCTTAGTGGCAACGCAGTTTTCTCAACCAGCTTTTGGTTTATCTCAGTCTTTTGCCTTGTCTTCCGTCATTCCCTCAAAGGGATGTTTAGCTCCAGACTTAAGTATTTCAGGTTTCAGTGATTAATTATAACTCGATTTCAATGACCTTATTTTCATTGCGCTAGAGATATCGTGGTCCACAGGATATTTATTGTCAAGTCAACAGGTTTATGGTTCATAGCACCATCATAAGTGACTTAAGGCGAACATCATCATCTGTTTTTGGGTGACCAAAAATGGCTTGTGTTGAGGAAATGAAAACCACCGCGTTCCACTGCTTAACTTGCGATTAATTCATTTTACAGTAAAAAGCATATTATTCATTGTTTTCTATCGCCTCTCAAATTTAAATACATTATTTATATATATGCTAATACTGCAATTAATCTTGTATATGTTACAGTGAAACACCGAAATCTGGAGAATGTCGACTTTCACCGGTGAATGTCAACATTCACATAGTCTCTTGGTGTATGTCCGAAATATTTTCCAAATACTCTTATTTCTGACTTACACCGGTCCTGTCGACATTCACCATGTACTAATGGTGAATGTTGAACTATAACAATATTATATTACTTCTCCGTCATTTAGTCGCGAATAAAACGCACTTGAGACTTGAAATAGAACTTAAGAACATGAGAACCTAAAACACACAATACATTCAAAATGAGAAAGGAAAATAATAGAAGTTAAAAACTTACTTAATTACACCAGTAACGTCTAAATGAGAAACATAAATAACAGTAATAAAAAACTTATTATGTGATTCAAATCTTATTTATTGCAACAACTTAAACTATTATGGCACTTTTATCTTCCCTCTCTTTTCGACTTTCCACCAGAGCATATCTGTGATTGTCGACATACACCGGTGAGGGTCCGAATATACAAGAATGTAGTGAAATATTCGGTCTTTTACCGACATATTTGGTGAATGTTGATATTCTCCAGTGAAAGTCGACATTCTCCAATTTCGGTCTTTCACGGTAACATATATACGCAGAAATGCAATGGAGTTGGATTATATTTTCTTAAACTATTTTAGTAGTATTAAAAGACTATAGTGCTTAAGTGCTTCTTTTCTTTCCCTAAATTGCCTAGTGTTTAATATATGAGCACATAAATTTAATTTTCAGTTTCTTTCAAACAATTCCTTTTATACCCTAAAAAAAAAAAAAAAAAAGGGGGGGGAAGATTTCTTTGAAAAATGAGGGTCTTAAAACAGTAAACATGGCTAAAATATATGGACTGGTTTGTGTTGAGCTGCCATGTACTATAAATCAAGAAGGTTCAGAGTAACCTATAGTAACCTATAAATTCAAGTTTTCTGTGCGTGACACACTGTGCCGCAAAGGGTTAAATGTCCAAAAGCTCTTGAAATAGACAGAGCTTTATTCAAAATCTAAAACAATCTAAATTTGCATTTCTGATTAATATTTCATTTTATATTGGCGTGTTTCTCTTCCAATTAAATAATACTAATTTTTCTAGAAAGAAAAAGTCATACCACATTAAACTTAGTTTAGTAGCTTGGCTAATGTGAAAATTTTATGAAATGATAATTTTCTCGTGAAAGGATATTTTGTCTATTTACCTTCATGACACGCACAGCGCCACCTGTGGCGTGCATCTCCCCAAGGATAGAGGAGAAGAGGGCACTTTTTCCAGCACCCACGCGCCCCACCACAGCCAGCAGACTTCCGCGAGCCACGGAGAGTGTGACGTCACGCAGGAAAGGCGGCTCCCCATTCGTCCAGCTGAAGCTACCGTCATCGATCTCTACGGCGTTGCCTAGGGAACGAGAGAACAATAGAATGATTAGTTCTGTCTATTTCCCTTTAATACTAGTCGCAGTTCTGTCGCATCTTTACCTCCTTCCATTTTCCGCGGTGAAGCCTACAGTAATTGACTCTTTCATCAAGGATGCACGTGATAATTCTCCGTGCCAAGCGATGGAAAGAGTTCAGGATGACGTGCCAAAGGTAACACGCAATGCAACTTTGACACGTGAAAAAAATAATAGTCCAGAAGTAGCTTCAGAACGTGTCACTCTGTACAGTATAATTTGCAGCAGTCTGCTTCACTCTATTCACATAATTAATTGAGATTAAAATAATTTAATGAAAAGAGTAAGTTTACTAGGAAATTAAAATAATGAAATTTCCAAGTGTGAAGGTTTAAATCTCATTTCTTAAATAACGAAGAATCTGTATTTATGCATATATGTATGAACGCATGTATATTTCTCGCATTGGGGAAAAAAGGCGTCAGATTTTCGTCACTGTTTTCCTACTATACGCCAAACTACAGTCACCAAATTTTGTATACACACAGTAATTCATTCTAACCTGAGCACTTAAAGCCCGAATTTCGAATTTGCATATTATTTATTTCACATCTTGTGGGAATTTTTGACATTTAGATTAACAACTTCGACGATCTGAAAGCAGTAGGTCCCACCAGACAAAGCGTAAGATATTTATTTATGTTTCTCTTTTAATCAGAAAACATAGCGATTTAAACCTTAAAATTTTTGTCTTTGAAATTTAATTGACTGTTTTAAGGCTTTTCCCTTGTAACACAAATGCAAACAAGTACAATTAATGGACGCAAAGAGGTAGAAAATACCAAGCTATTGAGGCACGTTGTAAGCAATTATAATCTTATCATAAATATCAACTGTAATTTTCATTTAAATGTGCTCTCACAATCTTATTCGCCCTAATGAATGATGGAAAATAAATACCATCGTTTTCTTCATGTTAGAAAGAAATGAAATGAAGACATCGGCGATTTCGAATGAATCTTTATCCTTGTTAAGGCTAGAATGGCTGGTGTATCTGTAATTCGAGCAGGTGAAATCGTATTCTACGGTTGTGGTAGAAATGGAAGTCATAAAAGAAATTGTGTTTAGTGAAATGTAATGTAATGGTAGAGGAAAAGGCTTCTAATCGCAGAAGAACTTATAGCACTGTAGTTATAGCACTGTGAATGAAGCGTTATAGCAATGTAGTAGATAAATGTAGGTCACTGCCGCACATGGTATGAAAATTTGCACGAGAGGCTATTTCAACTCATTTTAATCAAAACTCTGAGCGCAGAGTGAATCACATTCGAGTTGACTCACACATTCTATGATTCCCATAAGCTCATAATGTCAGATCAGTGGTGCAAACATTGCAGGTAGTAGATGTCAGTTAACAGTGGAAAAGTGTAAGTCTTAATGAATCACTATTCTCTCTTTTTATTGCAAGAATAAGCAAAAAGAAGAAATACGTATGCAGAAAATGTAGATTAAAAAAAACTTAACCACAGCGTTTCATTTTAATTCTGGAAACTTCATAGCTTTTTGTAAGACACGTTTTGGAATTTGATTATAGGCCTGCTTGTTGCATCGAAAAGAACAATTAATGTTTCACGTTATCCTATGGTATTACATGTAAGATATTTTTCGTGCTCAGCAAATGGGATCACTTATAAATTTAAAGAACATGAAAATAAATATTCTATCTGCCATGTTATATTCGTTATAAAACTGAAATGATTCAAAAATATATGGAATTTTCGAAGCGAGCTCGAGGTCATCGTCTTCCATTTACACTGTAGAAAAAAAGATGTACAAAATTATTTTTTTATAGTCTAAACATTGGCATTTCTTTCCGAAAACTACTGACAGTACTGTACGCCCAAAGTGCACTAACGAGAATTAATAAATAATTAAACATTTTGTATATTTGCACTTCTGACACTTATATATGTGTCTGTACGTAACTACCAGTAGAAAAATAATAGTCTTCGCCTCCATTTTCACGAACTTTTGAAGCTCAATTTTCAAAGTAAATCTAAAGCGATATGGTAATTTGAACATCGACTTAACTATTATTTAGGAACGTATTCATAAATAAGTCTTAATCTCATATTTAGATTCCTCTACAGCAGATGACCGTAAATCTTAAAATCGAAAAATGAAGTAATTTTGAAAAACAAACACAATTTTGCAGCGCTTTTAACTCAGGCAAATGCATCAGGATAGAAAACATTAATTTTACCAAAGAAGAAGTTTACAGCCGGTCAGGGAACGCATAGAGATTAGAATAGGCAAAAATTCAAGCTTAAATTGTTTGTCGATTTGCATTAAAATCCTATAAATTTCTAGAGATTCTAATGCAGTTCCTCCTCGTAAAGAAACAAAAATATTCTCTTAAGATAGATACGTAGAAATTTCCTGTAAATCAAATGTTACTCTAAATTTGAATTTTGCCAATTCTTAAGTTAAAATTGATGTAGTTTGTTTCTCATATCTATAAATAGTTATTTTTTAATTATTTATAAACTGCTGTTTAAATCTAACTAGGTTTGCTCTTGAATATGATTACCTTTTAAAGGATTATAAGTTCTCCAATCAATATTACCGATATCTTTATTATACAGTTGGTAAGTCGAAATGGTTGATATCTGAACTGTTACAAAGGCATTAAGCACTTACGGAGGATGACAGTTATTGCTTGTAATTTATGACTTTCTCTTTAATTCGACGTAAAAATGAAAACAAAAATGCTCAGAAACGTTAAGTAATTTTTCATTGTATTAGAGAGCGGATGAAAAATTCTTCGTGAGCATCCTAGATGAAATGATAATTGTACTGGGTTTGATCCACTGGGCCATTATAATCTCCAGCTTATACAGAAATTCTTAAAAATATTTTTCAGAAGATTAAAGCATTATGCATAATAAAACATTTATAGGTAAAAACGTAAAATAATTATCAATGCTATTATTTGAATTATTATTACTAAAAACGTGTGAAATCATGTCGTGTACATCGTTGTTTTATTTTTAGGATATTTTAAATAACAATCACACACAGAGATTCACAGAGAGAAAATTGCAGTTTTTTTTTTTTTTTTTACTGATCAGTGCAATATTTTTAGTTTAAGTTTGTCTTGTAGTAAATAATATGAATACATACCCTTAACAGTTTCATTTCCTACGACATTTGATTGAATCTCTTCACAAAGAAGGAAATCTGCTAGTCTCTTGAAAGAAATTCGACTCTAATGAAACAAACAAACAAAACAAAAAAAAGACTCATTAGTTAAGAAATTTATTCTTTTGGTCACAGTTATGTTTTTGATACAAATTATTTCTGCAAAGCTTGCAAAGATTATAAAATAGAATAACACAATCAGTGTTGAGATTTTGACAAATACGTTCACATGTTCACCAATCACACGTTCTAGAAAGTATACAAAAAGTGATATAGAAATGTTCTAAAATGACTAAAGTTACAAAAAATACAAACGAAATACTATCAATACTTTCTATTTTATGCCATATTAGAATATTCATGCCACTTTCCTTACCAGAAACACGCACATTCATTTAATTATTCTTAATTAAATATATAATTAAATGAGAACACTGAGCTTTATCCAAATAAAAACATATCTAACTGTTGAGAAAATTCGCATTAACTAATTGATGCATTAATTCACCAATGGTTAAAGGGGTGCTCGGAAGTTATTTTAAAGTCTTCCGTTTCTTGTATAAAATCAATTCGCTTTTTTGAACTTTTTTTGAACGCTTAAACATTCAATTATATTTTAAAAAATACAAAATAAAAAATAAAATCTGAAAAGTTTCAGATTTTAAATTAAGCCGAAAGGGGCGTTTTTTTAACATTTTGTATGTTACCTTTATTTATTAAATATCATGTTCTTCGCACTTAAAATTTCAGTTCATCATTCAGCACCATAAAATTCATTTCAAGAGCAATAACGCAAAATAATTTTAAATTGAGCATATCTTTAGAATTTTCGATACGCAGTCTCACGCGCTGGAGATAAAAATGTTTTTTCTGCACAACATTGTCATTGCTCGCTTTGAAATCTTTGAGTCTGTTAATCAAGAATTCGTTCAAGTTTTACAAAATAGGAAATCGATAATAAAACAAATTCCAAGTTTCAAATTTGGGCTTCCAGATGTCCATATTCGCAATAGGATTACGTCATTCAAAATTTGATGGCTCTAGATACCGTTGTTTTATCACATTGCGAGAAACATATATACATTTATGCAGATTCCTTATTATTTAATTTCTTTAAATATAATACAGGGCGATAATATTTGGTGGCAACAGCTTGAAAACTGAAACGGGCATTCAGAGTGATTCGACGCAAAATCACAAAACGAAAACAATAGTCCCTCAGGGGCAAAGCCAATTTGGACTAATATACAAATAAATAAATAGATGCTATAGATAAGATTTTTTAATTAAATAATTTTATCAAGGAATTACCGCTTTAAGTCTCAATTGTTTCGTTTGACGAAACGTTTTCTCATGCTTTTCCCTTGATAAGTCTGTGTGAAACCTCGAATTGGGCTAATTGAACATTTATTCCATTCTTTGTATATTATTTTTTTTATCTTTAAAATGTTTTTGATTGTTTGCGAACAAAATTGATGTTTTTTAGGTTAAAAAAAATTTTTTTTTTAGTCTTTTCTTATTTCCAACGTGTTTTTGTAGATTAAATTATTTAGTAGTTATTACAAGAGGTTTTTTTCGCGTAAAATTTAACTGCCTAAGTATTGCGTTATTGTTTTTACTTGAAGTTACGTGTATTCTCTGGAACTGTAGTATCATATTTACTTTAAAGCATTAGCATAAATTCTTACTTTCCTCTTCTGTGCTAATAATGATTTTGATATAAAATATAAGAAAAGTTCTACTAATGTTGAAGCTGATATGTTAACTAGGAACCTTATTTGTCAACATTTCTATGTGAAAACATATTTATTATCATTAAAAGAAAGTGAAGATCATCAAAATTTAGATAATGTTTTTTACCCTAAGTTTAAGAAACTAATAGTGTGTTAACTATAACAAAATAAGGATCGTATAAAATTGTAATATCGAATCCCTTCGCTCTAAATTACTTGTAAAAGCTCATACTGAATTTGTCATACTGGTGTATCCTCAATGTTAAATATGTTATCTCCTCAATATTATAGGACAAGAATAGTCCAAAATATTAGAAATTATATCAGAAATTATTGTAAACATTATGAATTATGTTAGTTTAATGAGAAAAATAAAGAAAAGAAACTTGGTTTAATGAAACCACCACCAACTGTAAGTCAGGTTTTTGAATTGTGATCTATTGATACTGTTGTTGATTTAAATTATTGTGATCCTACTAAAAAGTATATTCACAATATTACGGATTGCTACTCCTTAGATATGGGCATCTCCTTCTAAAAGTTTAACTATTGACACTTACATAAATTGTTTAAGGCTAATTTTTAAAATTCAGTTCCTAAAGAAAATTTTAAGTGATAGGAATGCTGCTTTTATTGCTTCAAAATTTAAGCTTTTTTTTTGAAAAACCATGAGGTTACACAATTTTTAATCACAGCTGATAGATCATAAACTAATAGAAAACTAGAAAGAGCTAATAATACTATTATAACTAGATTGAGATGCAAATTAAATTCTAATCAAAGTAATATTGCATGAACAAAACTGTAATTAAATCCTTATCCGGGTAATATTGCATGAACAAAACTGTTATCTCAGGTTACTGAAAAATACAATAATATACCACATCTGTAAAAAATACCCACCATCTTATTTAATGCATGAAAAATTACCATATGATCCATTAATCGAAAATTAAGATCTGTAATGAAAAATTGAAACTTGGAAAATTGCTCACAAAATGTCTGATTATTACCATAATATAAACAAGTAAAGATATGATACCCATTTTAGAGCAAGTAATTCTAAACCTGGTGCTTTAGTAGTGTATGAGGAATTTCAATATCCTAACGTCAGAAAATTTTTGTTTTAAGGCCCTTACGAGATTTTGAAACAATATTCTGAAGTTGCTTTGTAAGGATCCTAAGTTTTACTAACGTTTATTTTATTTTAAAACTGTACTATCACTTCTTATTTTCTACTTCCGGCCATAATTAAATGCTTTAACTTGTTTATGCAAATTGTCTTGCTAACGCCAAGTACATTGGTGTGCAAAACTTAAGCAACAATGTAAATTTTAATCAGATAGCCATGAAATTGTAGAAAAGGGGTTCTTGCGTTCAGTACGATGAACACACAATTCAGTAGAAAGGTCATGCGTATGCAAATGTCAAGAAAAAAAGGTCACAGGCTACGTGAACGTACGCAAAACGCGTACGGTCGGCGCGCTCAACTCGAGATTACCATAAAAGGAAGGATGGAGATGCAATTAAAGACATTCGCTGCAAGTACAAAGAGTTCTTTCGTGAAATATTGGCTATAAGAAATAATCTGGATGACTTCACACGTGGAAGAATGATTGAAAATCTGGAGTATGGGCGAAGTGTGACCAGTATAGCTGAAGAGTTCGGAATCAACAAAGTTGCGTTTCGCGCGTTTAGAAAAGCCTTCCATACCATAGGTACAGCTATTAGAAAGGTTGGTGGTGGCCGTCCCAGGTAAACAACTGCAGCAAATAACCGATATATAGTCTTGCAGACGAAAAGAGTCCGAAATAAGTCAGCAAGCGCCACAGCTCAACAACTGTGAACAGCAACGGGCGACAATTGTCATGGTTTACTGTGCCCAAACACCTTCGCAAAAGTGGCTTATGCGCCTGCCGTTCTGAACGCTGCATCCCTTTGAAAGTTGGCCATCGGCATCACCGTTTACAGTGGTGCAAGAAGCGCAAAAACTGGGCATCTCATCAATGGAGTCGTATCCTCCTTACGGATGAGAATCGTTTTAGTGCCACCAGCGATTCTCAACACAAATTGATTTGGAGAGAGGTCGGGACACGGTTTAATCTCAATAACATTACGGAAAGAGACCGTTACGGTGTCCTGAAGAACTCGTCTGGAGAGGCATTATGCTGAACGGGCGGACGGAGCTCCACGTTTTCGACAGACGTTCTGTAACTAGAGATCGCTATCGTCAGGAGGTGATCCTTCCCCATGTACGTCTGTTCCGAGGTGCCATTGGAGCAGACTCGTTTTTATGGATGACAATGCACGGCCACACCGGACAATTGCTGTTCAGAAGCTACTGAAAAGTGAAGATATCACTTGAATGGATTAGCCAGCGGGCTTCCTTGATTTAAACCCATAGAACATGTGTGGGATGCTTTGAGAAGACGCTTGTGACACGATTACATCCTCCGGGGAACACCCAACAACTGAAACAGATGCTGATTGAGGAATGGGCATTCTTACCTCAAGATCTGTTGGAAAATCTGGTGCTGAGTATGGAGAGACCATTCGAAGCAACCATTGCAGTAAGGGGAGGGCATGTCCCATACTAAGAAACACCTGCTTGTTGTTCTTCCTCTTGTACAGACAATCATGTGTAACGATACCATGAGTTCAATAAAGCCTGTTTCTGTTTGATCCCATACTGTATGCATTGTATTCATTTTTAGAGGAATTATGCTTTCGTCATCGTTTAAATACAAAATGTTGTCTCTTAATTCTGAATTTCATGTCTTTCAGATAATTTCTCGTGAAGTTATGCCAAAAAGAACACTTGTTGCTTAAGTTTTGCACACCAGTGTACTTAAGTTGTGGCTTTTTGCAAAGAGAGAGAGAGGAAGGAGTTATAGGAAGCAAGCCGCTTGCCACTGTAGTTTTACGAGTTTTCACTCTTTTGCTGGTTGCTTTTAAGGCCAGAGGTTTAGCCCTCTTGTTATTTGCAAACGTATTGTAGTTTAAGCAGCTCGGCGTACTACATACGTACATTTCTTTAAATAAAGGCCAATCTTAGTGCTAGGCATTTGTATACTAATTCAAAGTTAGTTTTTAGTTAGAGTTTTAGTTAGTAGTTTTTATATTCTTACGTTCAGACCACAAGTGGTTGGTCTCTGTATTCCGAAGTTTCGGAAATACCTGTAAAAAATTGAAAATAAAGGGTTTCGTATACCCTTCCTGCTTGTGTTGTCTACTTCACACTTTCTTGAACATAGCTTGAGTAAGCTCCCTGTTCCGATTCAGAACCATTCATGTTTCCAACGCAAATCAAGAGAAATACAAGTCCTGATAGCTTTTGAAATAGATAAACCAACGGTACTGAAAAGAACTCAGAAATTGTCCATTCTACTAGGCTCAGATCTCTTAATCTAGCAAATGAATTTAAATGAACTGTTAAAAATAGTTAAATACCTGTTGCTATTAAAAATGAATTAATTCACGCTTTTAAAGTTATTCATTAACATTGTTTTAAAGCTTTAAAAAAATATTTGTAGCCCGGATGTGACTTTTTAGCCCGATAAAAACTATGAACTGTGATAGATTACTCTCAATTTTGGTTTTTCCTTAATCTGGATTCTTTCCAATATAACCCTTTCCTCCTTCGTGGAGTATTTCCGTTCAAAATTTGTTACGTACGTCCCCCAAAGTCCGGAGATGAGGAGAGGAAAATATATGCGAGATATAAAATGTGAAGTTAAGCTACTACTTAGCAACAGTCCTTTTAATTTCTCATTTTAATTTGGCTACGTCTCCTTTCTGGAATCTCATGTGTTGTATTACGTCACGGAACTTCCGTGATGGTAAAAGTGAGATAAATCGTCATTTTTTGTATGTATTTTAAAAGGTAACATAGGCTTTCTTGGTTAATTAAAAAGTAACATGACAACATTATTATAGAAGGAAAAAGTTAGCAGCTTTCCCGATCCTTGATACATCTAACTCGCCCAGCATTTTTGAGACAAAGCCCAACCTTTTTTGTTTCTCTTACCACAGCAATAGGATACGCCGCCAAGCATGGAGGTAGGAGGTTACTTCCTACCTCCATGCCGCCAAGGGGAGATGTCCTTAGCGAGTCTTTCCTTGATCTTTTTCCGGCCAACGCGGCGGGAAGTCTTAATGTCACAGTGTCATCTAAAAATCAATCCGCATTATGAAAGAGTAGCATTGAGGATATTTTTTATCCAATCATCGTTTAAAATTTAAACAAAAAATTAACTCTATAAATATCCCTTTACTGAAATGCGCATTCTCTTTCCCCAAACTCCTCTTGCTCTACTTGCACGTGTCATTGTGCTATGTCGTCCATTGTCTCGAGATTTGATCAGTTATGTAAAATTAAAGGATGCGTATCGCAGCTGTAAAGATGATGTGGAAAGGTGAATTATGCGTCCTCAGAATTAGTTATCAAGGGATACAATTATGTGTTGTATCTAAGCCACGTTTGCTAAGTTCTTTTCCATTATAACATCTTGTGAAATATACCCAGCTGTATCATTCTATGTACGCTGTAAAGCGTCATCAAATATCTACAGATTTTTATTACAGTGCAGAATAGCCGACAGGATACTATGATCCTACGTGTGCGTCTTTCAGCGTACCTACGTATGTGTAAACGAAAAGTTATCTACAGAATTATGTGTGTGTTTTCTATGGACGTATACATATGTAATAAAAATTTTGATGACGACATAATAAACTGTAATAGTATCGGTGATGGATAACAGATATACATAGAAATAATGCAGCAGTCAAAGCCGATTTCTTTTATTGTTCACAAAACATTTTTGACGAAGACGCACGCTGATAATCCAGTGCAAGACATACGTTCACTTTTGAACTATTAGTTTCATCTGCATCTTTAACCTTTCCTATACTTGAAGGAAGAAAGTGCTGCAATCGACAACAACCTAGCGGGAGAACTAAGAACAAATGCGCAGAAAATAGAAAATACACATCTGGATAAGACTGAATCGGTTTCCATTCAACTTTATTTTGATTGGTTAATTTAAATTTAAATTCGAAAATCTGAATATTATGATTTGCTGAAGCAGTATATAAGTGGCTGCGTCACTGACGTTATGTAAGAAGGGTTAAATTTGAAATGACGCAGCTTTGGGAGATTTATTATAAGCAGTTAATATGGGAAGAGGAAGTAATGAAATTAAAAAAAAAAAAAAAAAAAAAAAAAAAAAAAAAAGATCTAAAGAACTATTGCAAATTAAATTTAGTATTTTATATTACCCTTTTTAACTTGCACACAGACATACACAAACACACACACATATATAACACATTTAATAATCCTCTGCAATTTAAAAAGCTTATGGGCATATGATCTTATAAACTAAGCGTTACGATCCCCAAAGGAAGCTTATTTTTAAAGTAAATTGATAAGTAAGAAATTTTATTCGAAAGCGTCCTTTTTATTGGCAGATATATCTGCCATGATTGACCTTAAACAGCTATTTCCAGATGTAATTCATAATACGACTTCGTACTCTCTATAATTCCTTCATAAATTATATTCGTGTTTGTTATTTTTTAATTTAAAAGGATTTATTACCATTTCAAATACTTTATTTTCAAAAAACTATTAATGTCGCAAGTGCATTTATTAATCATCTCGAAGAAAATCTCCTCAATGTGTTCATTAACGCTGGATAAATAGATCATGCTGCCAGTCGCTGACGCATAAGATCTTCAATTTTACTTTATTATCATAGAAGTGTACCAATCAATGCAGTATAAATTAATTATTTAATAATTCATTTTAACTCGACTTCTTGACAAGTGGTATTTTGTAAAAAGCGTTATTTTATACCATGTCAGTTGTAAATAAAATAGATTCCTAACATTTCATAACAGGTCGATTGCAAACTTTTATTGTTTACTGTAGTCTGAATTAAAATTAAATCTAAAAATTGTAACGAAGTTTTGCGGTGATATATAGCTCTTAAGCCTCTCTTTACATTTTTGATTTTATTTAAACTTAATGCAAATTTTTAATATCTTGATGTTTTTCTGCTTATACCATTTTGCGTTGAAATAAAATAGAAACAAATGAAATTTTTAAAACTAAAGCTGAATTTACCTGGGATTTAATTTTATTCAAGAATGAAGATCCTTGTTCATGAGTTGGCAACAGTAGATATAATATTTAATCATGAAGAGAAGCGGAATGTTTACATCTTTCTTTAAATTTTTTATTTTTTTGTCTGGTAACATTAAATTGTTCCCCCTTCAAATGAATAAAATGAATTTATTAATCCAAATCATTTTTCAGTTATTTTCTATCGAAGTTTGACGTTCTTCAACGGCAATTAGGGGGGCAGGGGAACTCTGAAATAGCTACTTATTTTGATGATTAAGATTGTCTTTTGCATAGAACAGCACGCGTTATTATCTAATTAAATTCTTATATTTAATGCTTCATTAAATTGTTTAATTAGAGATACCTTTGCGAATTTGGAAGTAAAAATATAGATTTTTTTTTAAATATGTATATATTATAATTTTTGAAAATTGAATAAGTTAAAAAAACCTGTAAAAAAAAACACACACACACGCTGAAAGTTGCGGAATTTTAGATATAATAGAAGAATATTTATTGTTATATTCTGCAAAGTTTTATCAAGAATATAATGTTAGAAGCTTTATAGTAAAAAATATTGGGTTTTGAGTACAGTGTTATCGATGATAATTCACTCATTCAGAAACTCTAATTACTGAATATTAACTCATTATTCACGGAATACACGCAATGAACTGCAAGTTTTCAGACTGATCTTCCCCATCCTTTTAAATGAATAAATATCCCATGAAAAAGTTCATGAGGGAAACAGAATTATGTCTTGTATAGTATTTCAAATACAAGTTTCTTGCTGCAAGTATGTACTCACCTAATGGACTAAAAATGTTAACGGAAAATAAATTTATAAAATTGAAAGGTGTAAGGAATTTTTGTCGTACAATTACAATTATTATTATTATTATTATTTAGTTTATTAAAGGCTGCGAGTAAAATACTTTAGTTTCAGTCTAAAATATAATACTTTAGTCGATGGCTTTCATAAACCGTTCATTCGCACTGAGAAAGGAAAGTAATCATATGTTATTACTTACTTGAATAACCTGCGTAAAGATGATAGGTATCATAGAGGTAACGCTTCTCAGTCTGTTGAAAAGCGTCAGAGACACGAAGGCGATACTTGGATCCAATTTATTATTTTCATCCATCAAAATGAATGCCGTGAAACTGCTTATGGCGAACTGGAAAAGCAAAATTCACCATTTAAAGCCATTTTCCAAAGAAAAAACAAATACATCCATTTCAGTGGCACCATATGTAAATTTCTCTATTTCAAAAGCAGAAATGGTAAATATCTGTACACTCAAGTCTCTTTCCAGTCTACAATAGTAGAATAAGTAATAAATATAAAAAAAAATCAGCAAAAAATTTAGATTATGCAACTAAAATTAGCAGTTAATAAAACATATCTAAATTAAAACAAAATTTAAATGTATTTTACTAGACATAATACCCCAGAATAATTGAAATTAGTTTTAAGTAATTATATTACATTTACGATTACATATTTTAACAACCAGCTTCCCTATCACAATGCTACCTTGCTGGCATTGTGATAAGGGCGCTGGTTGTTATAGATTTGAGCCTATGTTCGAATATCAAAGTAGGCATAGATGTTTGTAAGCACTTAAAATTCTACAGAGTCTAAGCTTCTCTAAAGAGGTTGTTGGGGAAGAGGGGTGGGAGAACCCCGGATCCATTGCCTGGGGAGATTTTCCTTCGAAAGGCCAAATTCCAGTTATCACCTACAAGGTGAGCAAGGCTAAATACAACCGTTGTCTTAGCCATGATAAATTTTGTGGACTTGTTTCTGATATTACTATCGAATAAGTGAGATAACTCACAACATAACAGTGTATTTCAATTTTCTTCAAAATGCTCTTCGTGCTGTCCCAACGCTTTTTTCACAACTAGAAACATGGAGACAGTTCTAGAACATCACAGCATCCTTCAAGATGCGGTTTTTATTCTTTTGCACTAATCCATATCACCAAACAAATCGCCTCTTTGATTCACTGAATTGCTTTCTTCAAGGAAATGCGGAAAAAATTACCGCACTGAGCAAGAAGAATCGGGGAGTTTGGCGTAATTGAAACACAAGTATCATATTGTTCTTCTCCAAGAGCTGCTAGACAAAGACAGCTTTTTCAGAAATCCAGCTGGTGTTCTTTCTTTATGGTACCTGTAAATGTTTTCTTCGTTGCTGCTTATGAATGAATCTCTAAATCGCAGTGGTCTTCATTTGAAACGACACTATTTTTTAATCTTGAAGATTACTCCTATTCTTGTGATTTACTCAAAGCATTAGATTCAATGGTTTATAGGAACATAAAAATGGCATGAGCTGCAATTTTCTTCAATAAAAACAAGCAGTTTTCAAAAAACAGCTCTTTATTCTTTGTGGTTGCAATCTTTCAAAATCGCGAGTACGAGTAGTACCACACATAAATTAACAGGGAGGATTCTACTCAGATTGATGCCACTCGCCGGACAGGCACAGGAAATTCTAAATTAACAAAGGCCTAGAGAAAAGATCCATAATTACGAAGCGCTCATATGCAATGTTGTGATTCTGGGTTATTTTAGAGTATCTCTATGTAAAACAATAACAAAAGGAAGTAAGGAATTTGTGAAAAATTGGAAGAATAAAACAAAACTATGAGTTATCAGAATAATATTATTGGTTTAGAAGAGGTTAATTATACCTTGTTTTTTTTTTTTTTTTTTTTTTTTGTTTCTCTTTCATTAGGAAGACCTAAACAAAGTACTTGAGAAAGATGATTACACGGTTTATATATTCCAGTACTGATTCTGGACATATACTTTCAGTTACGAAGTTTGTCAGAATATAAAGTACACGATGTTATGAAAATAATTCCTACTCTGGGAGTATGGTTTATGGGTTCTACTTTGGATTTATGTTTAGAAATACTTTATTGATGAAGTTTAGCTCTTTGAAAATTATTGGGGTAAAGAAGTGGAATTTCTTCAGTAAATATCGGACGTATAACATTCTCCTGATAGTACGTTGAGTTGATTTTAACATTTTTTCCCACTCTTTTTATTTTTAATTTTCCATTTTACGAGAATCCTGCGACAATCAAAATCTCCTCACGGTACTTTCTTTGCATTGACGGAACTGGGCTTGCATATTTTTTCTCTTCGTTTTCTCTAATACAGAGGCTGTTCACCCATTTTTTAGACGAGTTATATTGTATTCATAAAACTAAATTACATAAAATTCTTGTGTTTTAAATGTTCTATTTGACATCCCTTATTCTGAACTATCTTTCGACACCGCAATTTCCAGGATAATAATGCCTTTTGAAGTGGCAGAAGAAGATATTCTATCCCATTCCTCCCGAACAGCTTTCCAGACTCCTGTTAGGGTTTCGGGACAACGTTTGGATAATGCAGTTTTTGAAAGTCCGAAAGCACAAAAATCCATAGGTAGGGATACCAATGCAGTAGGGATATCAATGCAGCATCGGGAGATTTAGTAGGGATATCAAGTGAAGGGTAGGGCCTTTGATGCCAGTTTTTTTTGTTCCATTTCGTTTAGGAAATTTACAGTAGATTTTGATGCGTGACTGCTAGCTTTGTCCTGATGGAGTCTCACAGATTGGATGGCACTGTGGGTAAAGCGATAGTATTTTCATTCAGAACAATTGGCGATTTAAAATGAAATATGTTCCTGAACAGTATTTGGAGTTAATCTTGACATTTTTTTTGCACCCTTTTATTTTTAACTTGCCGTTATAAGAAAAACCAGCAACAATCATGAATCCCTTACAAAAACTTTCTTTCGATTCTTTGAACCATGTACTTAAATTTTTTCTCCCCTTATATGATAATAATTGGCTCTTTTTTTGTTACAATCATTTAAATACACCCATGATTCATATATTGTGACAATTTTTTTCCATTTTTCTTTGGATAAGTGTTTCTCATATAGAAATTCTGCAGCGTGTCCTGCGTTGAGCGATATGCTTTGGTAGAAGATGATGCACATTGCATTTTTTCGCTTTCTTAAGATTTAAATCAACGTTTATTCATTTTGTTTACAGTGGACAAGGAGCATTTTAATGATTTCTGCAACTGTCCTTTTGAATAGGGGGATTTTCTTTTAACATTAAACAACGTACCTTTGCAATAGTCGAAGATGTCCTTTTTTACCTTGGATACTTGTTTGGAATTTTTGTCCCACTTGAGGCTCCAATTTAAAGTTTTTTCCCCCCTTTCTTGTTGATGATATTACCTATCGACGCTTTAGATATCACAAAACCATGACTCTCACATTGTTTTTGGATAACGGAGTATGCATATTTCTCTTCGGAAAGAGCGTAAATGTAGCCTTCGAACCACTGCTTTGTTAAATTCGCCATTTTGAATGAAAGAAAACTTTCAAGCCACAGACGATAATTTTGACTTTTAAAAACTATAAAAAATACACAATTGCAATATAGTACAATTGCAAAATAGTACAATTGCAATTACTTCTTTTGCAGCAAACGATTTTTTATTATCGCTTACCGTCTAAAGAATGTGCGAACAGCCTCTGTAAATAGACCTTTTTGTTGTTGTTGTTGCACTTATTAAGTGAAACTCATGCTTCGTCAAGAGTTACAACGTATTTCTATTTAGTTCCCGCTTAATACTTTTCATACAAGGTTCTATAAATTGTTCTACGATGAGCAAAAGCTGGTGAGAATAATATTTTTAAGCCTTTTTAAGTTGTAAATCTTAGTTTATTATTTTTATTGTTATTTTTGTATTGCTTTATTGTTTGATTTCTGTGTTTGCGGATTTTCTCTTATCACCAACGATTTAACTTTACAAACATTAGAAACAGTACGTACCTTTTTTAGGGTATTCATTTGAAGTCTCGTTTCCATGTAGAAGTAATTCTGGGTTTTTCCTTTTCCGAATAGTAATGATGCTTATTTTGTACTTAGAAATTTTAAAACGATACATTTCGGAATGTTTTTGAATTATGGAATAAGAGTATTTCTCTTCGGAAAGCGCAAAAACATAGCCTTCAGTCCATATCTTACTTACATGCGACATTTTGAATAATGAATCAATTTAAAAGTAGCAGACGATATTTCAGATTTCAAATAGTAAGATATTTTCAAAAATTTTTATTCCAAGACATTTGCTTTCTTTAAATTATTCATCAAAATCATTCTAAAAATGTGTAAACACCCTCTGTTTTAATGCTTCATTGTTTAATTAGAACTATCTTTGCGAATTTTACAAGAATACAATTTATTTTTAAATAAATATGTATATATATTTAAATATTATAATTTTTGAAAACTGGAAAAGCTATAAAAACCTGTGCCTGAAAACACACTGAAAGCTGGGGAATTTTAGACATAATAGAAGAATGATTATACATCTATTATGCAACGTTTCGATTTCTTGAATTATAATCTAGTTTTACTACTTAGAAGAGTATTTTATTTTTACTGCCTTACATCAGACGAATGAATTAATAAAGCAGAAACATTATTGACAATTTTATATTCTTACAAATATGAAATGTTCACAGTTCTTTGTAATAATATAAAATGGTTAACTTTATCAATCATTTTATATTCTTAAAAAGAATTGTGCAAGTATACTTACCAAAAAAGGAGCTGAAACCCATATGAATAAAACGCAGCCGTTCAGGCAAGCCAATTTCTTGATCGAAATGGCTTCTTTTTTCCTGATATCTCCGATGACTTTCATGAATGGATACTCCCAAGCGTATAGTTTCAGTACCTATTGGAAGCAAATCAGAATCAAAATGAAATTACTACGCAAGATTTTCATGGAATATGACTACAGCTTTAAAGCTTCATTTCTTTACTTACGGAAGTTCGTCTAGATGAACTTCTAGTTATACTTTGAAATAAAACTAATACTGCTTTCTAATTCTTCTAGTTTTTTCTGTATAGACCACAAAATTTTATGTGAACAGTTTTGGCGCTGGATTGTAGAACAGTTTTGCGAATGCAAAATTTTATTTTTTACATGATCTCTTCGGGGTAAAGAATCCTAGTACTGATATATTTGTTACGCTTTAATAAGCCAAAAACGAAAATTTTGGGTTGGCCAGAAAGTAATTTCGGTTTTTGAGTATGAAAAAAAATTCAGTTTTTCCTACACACACACACACACACCACACACACACACCAAAAAAAAAAAAAAAAAAATTAAGCAATCATAATATCTTCCATTCTGTTCGATGATGACCTTTTGCCATCTTTCTGGTAACATCATGATTCCGCGCTCATAGAACTTATAGTCTTTATCAGCAAAAAACTCAACCAAGTGCGATTTGAGGCCATGCTATTACTGAAATTTTTACCATTTAAGAAGTTTTGTAAACTTCGATATAAATCATAATCCGATGGTGCAAGGTTAGGCTATATGGAGGATGTGACATCTCTTCCAAATCAATCTCCAATAATTTCATACGTATTGCTAAAAATATACGACGCCTCGCATTATCATGGTGGAACAAGTTCCCTGTGCGGTTTGCCAATTCTGGTCTTTTCTCTTTTTGAAACAATTTAGCTTTCAATATGATTTGTGTTGATTCATCATGCTTGGACCATAATTTTTTCCGATCAATGTTATTATAGACGATCCATTTTTAGTCAGCAGTGATAATTCGTTTAAAAAAAAAGAGTAAATTGCATCACGTTTGAAATGCATATCTCAAATATTGATTCGTTGTGTTAAGCGAATTGTTTTTTTAATTCGTGGGAAGTCCAAACATAAAGCTTCTGAACGAGTCCAAGACATGTTAAGTGATTTGAAATTGTTGCGTGTGATACAATTAATCATTTTGCAATTTCTCGTACTGTTACATGACAATTCATTTATGGCTTTAATTTTGACATCATCAACTGCAACAGGTCGTCAGAAAGTTAATCACCTTTAAGTGAAAAATTTTCAAGATAAAAATTTTTAAACCAATTTTGACACATGCGTTCTGTTAAGCAATAAACGCCATAAACTTTACATATCTCTCTGTGAACCTCAGAGGCTTTCTCGCCTTTATAAAAATAAAAAAGTAAAATATGTCAAAAATGTTTATTTTGCACCCCATGTTAAAACTGACTGTAAACTAACAGTTGTAAACAAAAATATACGGAACGTGTTTTTATAGCAACCTAAAAGTATCAGCTGCGAAATCTCAAAAATTATAAAAAAATTATAAGATTGAAAGAAGAATAACATCTATTTTTTCAAAATCTATTTTTGCAAACAGAAATTGCTTTCTTGCGATCCCAATATTTTGAAAATGGAATTGAAATTCGGAAGTAAAATAATTTCATATATTGAAGAAATAAGATTTGTCATAATTTAAACTTCTGTTACTCATGCGCATAAGTAAAATTTTCATTATCCACATATTCTTAGGAAACAATTTTATGTGTTAAACTTTCAAGCATTATTCTTCATTTAAATAATGATAAAGATTATTTGTCAATTGGTGTTAACTTTCTGTTGCCATGCAAATCTGTATAAATTCTTATTCTATATATATTCTGTAATAAACTCTTATTCATAAAACATAAACCCTTATTCTATAAATATTCTGTATTTACTGTCAACTACCGATTAATTGGGGTAATTCAAGGAAGGACGTCTGTGATTTAATCAAAATCACGGTTAATAATAGAGCAATTCATAAAAGTGAAATAACTCATGTTTATAATGTACAGAAAAATTCTATTAACGATTTATTTATATTTTCAAGGAGCATAATCTTCAGAATAAGTTCAGTTGGTTACGTAAATTGAATTAGTATTCAAAACAAAAACAAAGGGAAAATAATAATGAAATGTAATATAATGTAAATAAAGAAAGAATAAGTATAATAAGAAATAAAGAAGCTAAATTATAAGAAATGGTAGTAGAATATTTAAAGAAGAACAATATTTGTTAAGTACAATATTTAAAAAAGAAATTGAACAACGTTATTTAGTTCAAATTCGTATAAGGAACGTTTTGGTGTTTGCTGGAGTGGTAAGGATTTTACGTTAATTAACCAATTATTATGATCCCAAGCATAAATTCTTCTTTCCATAGTCCTCATCAGAATGCAAATTAGTTGGGTGAATATTTAAGATGAAGGTTTTGAATATTTAAGTTTCCGAGCTTTTAGCACCCTCGCTTGCAGTTACGTCCTATCGCCAGTTCTGCCAGAATTTATTCTGGCCTTAGCCATTTTGGTAGTCGACGTTAAAAGCCCGCTGTTAAATATTTTGGCCAACTTAAGGGGATCATTTTGTGCATCTTTCTCAAGAAGACGAGTTTCTCAACACCAAGCTTCCACAATCGAAACTACAACAAACATCTGATCCACTAGTGGCAAGAAAAGTGGAATATCCTCACAATAGGACTGCGCGCCCACCGGTTCTTTCCAAAAATCGGCGCAGAAATTAAAAGCTCTAAGTCCTTCATAAAATTTTATCTCACAGATCATGGCCCATATCCAAATTATTTTGTTAAAAGGAACCTCTCTAATAACGACGATGGCGGAGTCAAAGAAGATGCAGACTATTGCCTATTCTTCTGCCTTCTTAAAAGTGATCTGCACATCCGGAAACCCACCAGTCTAGACTTTAAGTTCAAATTACTAGTACTATATCAACGCCATCTGTATCAAAAAATCATGAAAATACACCAAAACACAGTGCTCTAGGACTGGTCCACCAAGTCACACCTTAGGACCGAAAACAAAAACAAAACTGAAAGAGCAATGACCAGGCTACACCTCAATAACTGATTCCGAGCAATATCTGATATCTACATACCAAAAGACCAAATGTACAGAGCTGAGCTCATGAACTTTACGAACTTTGAACTTGGGACTGAAAGATCTCAGCTCGGTGTAGTCTTACATGTTACAAATATCCTCACAGAACAAGAACCAGACATTCCAATATAAGATATTAGCAAAATCAAACCCCATATGTTTTTCTACTTACATAAAAATGTAAAACGTCCAGTGAAACGATCTCCAAAGTATCAACTCTGTTGTACTGTTTACGTAATCCAGTATTGTAATGAGTATACTCAACAGTTTGTGTTATGTAACTTTTCCTAATTTTATGTTAATATGCCTTATATTTAAATCTAACAACAATATAGGAAAAAGAGCGTACAGTCAGTTCCAATCTTTCGATCAAACATTTTACCCTCCGATCCCTTTGAAGTAAACACGCACCCTCGATTTAGTTTTATCCAATATTCATCCCTACCGAACCTTTTACTACTTCAAGGGGTGTGAAATTCTAGCTAGTAGTGTACTGGGGCAATACCTGTTCGATTTTAAGTAAAGTCTCTGATGCCCCATGCACTTTTACCTGTTTAAATACCTGAAAATGGCGGAGTTTTATTTTGTAGGCACATGTAGTGTCAACCGTTAAATTTAAAGAGTTAATAAAAAAAATTAAAAAAAAAGATTATTTTAACCTTCATAGGACTTTGCCATTCTAATTCAAACTAGGACGATAACTTGCTTATAAATATAGTAAGGTTTGGAGAGTATTGATTTAAGCTTCTGTCGAATTAGAAACTTACAGATTTTTTTTTTTTTTTTTTTTTTTTTTTAAAAAAAAAGATCGATGATTCAACAATTCTGATGTATTTCGGACTATGTTCAGTTAAATTATGTGCTATCCAACGCATTTCCGTGTTTAATTTTCCACAGACCGTATTTTTTTTTTTTTTTAAGATCGATGATTCAACAATTCTGATGTATTTCGGACTATGTTCAGTTAAATTATGTGCTATCCAACGCATTTCCGTGTTTAATTTTCCACAGACCGTATTTTTTTTTTTTTTTTTTTAAAGATCGATGATTCAACAATTCTGATGTATTTCGGACTATGTTCAGTTAAATTATGTGCTATCCAACGCATTTCCGTGTTTAATTTTCCACAGACCGTATTTTTTTTTTTTTTTTTTTTTTTTTTTTTTTTAAAGATCGATGATTCAACAATTCTGATGTATTTCGGACTATGTTCAGTTAAATTATGTGCTATCCAACGCATTTCCGTGTTTAATTTTCCACAGACCGTATTTTTTTTTTTTTTTTTTTTTTTTTTTTTTTTTTTTTTAAGTCCTAAAAGGCGTTATCCCAGAAGAGCTATTAGTCTCGAAACGGCATTTTGTGTTGAATCGCTAAAGGCACTGAGTACTTTTCAAATTTTTGCCACCAAATATTACCGCTCTGTATTATATTTAAATAAATTAAATAATGAAACATTTGCATGAATGTGTGTACTTTTGTCAAATTATGAAAAAGCAACGGTTTCTAAAGTCATCGAATTTTCTGAATAACGTAATCCTCCACCTGAATATGGGCACCTTTGTAATTTCTTTTATTATCTGTTTCATATTTTGTAAAACTTTAACGGATTTTTGATTAAGAAACTGAACGATTTCAAAGCTAGTAGTAGAAGCACTCACTGTACGGAATAAAACATTTTTATCTCCAGCGTGCAAGACTATCTATTGGAAATTCTAAAGATATGCTGTTTTTAAATTTTTTTAACCCAAATGGCTGTTAGCCCGAATCCATAATAAGCAAAATTATTTTTTTTTACTAAGTTTGTTTAATTCACGGCTCTGTCAGTCCGGTTCCGGTCCATCGGGAGATAATTGTATACGCTTTGCAACGATTTTGCTTTGCCAGTCGAAGACGAAGAATGGTTGGATTTAAAGAATTCTTTCGCATTTTCTTACTTCTACAGTAGGAATTATCAAATATACCTATCACATTTCAGTGTACATTGTTAAGCAAATGGTTAAAAAAAAAAGAGGGAAATGTGTTATATAATTCATTAGATGATAACTGTAGATTTCGGTTAGTTTTGAAAGCAGTAAAAACAACTCTTACCTTGATTCCATTAAGAATTTCGTTCATTTGTCTCAGTCTTGAATCTTTACATTCCATTTGAAATTTCTAAATAAGCAAATAGTTATATAAATATACAAAGCAATGATACTTATACCTCCTGGTAGAAGGCATGCAGTTTAGAAAAATATTAAACATTAGGGAGGATTCTTTGTACACAGAATTGCAATTATTTTCATTTAAATTTCATTTTTTTCAAAAGTTGGCTGCAATCTCACCTGCTGTTTGTGTATCATGACAGCTAGCTTTGCAGTAATGGGCATAACAATTACCATAACTAATATTCCCGCAAGACACGCGATACCCAGATAGCGCCAGAGAAGAGCAATGGTGAAGATCATATTCAGCGGAAGACTCCAAGTTAAGTTTATGGCCCATATCAGCTCGATTATCTTCTGGACATCGACGGCCACGAGATTGCAAAGCTCTCCGACTGTGTAATTTCTCCTAGATCCGCTACTTAAACGTAGGACCTAGTGAAAGAGGGGAAAAAAAAAGCAGTATGTATTATTTTCACTTTGAGTGCTGAACAGATAACTGTAAACTGAAATAAATAAATAAATGAATAAATAAATAAATAAAAAAAATCTGAAATGTTTCAGATTTTAAATTACGTCCAAAGGGGCGTTTTTTAACATTTTGTATGTTACCTTTCTTTATTAAATATCATGTTCCTCGCATTTAAACCATAAGATCCAGTGCAACAGCAATATCGCAAAATAGTTTTAAAACGAGCCTATCTTTAGAATTTCCGATACAGAGACTCACGCGCTGGAGATAAAAATGTTTTTTCTTTCTGCACAACGTTTGCCATTGCTCGCTTTGAAATCCTTGAGTTTGTTAATCAAAAATTCGTCAAAGTTTTAAAAAATAGGAAATCGATCATAAAACAAATTTCAAATTTCAAATTTGGTTTTCCACATGCTCATATTCGTTGGAGGATTACGTTATTCAAAATTCGATGTCTCTATGTACCGTTGTTTTATCACAATACGAGAAATATACATACATTTATGCAGATTTTCATTATTTAATTTCTTCAAATATAATGCAGGACTCTAACATTTTATGGCAACAGTTTGAAAAGTGAACCGACATTTATGAGTCCGACGCAAAATGCCAAAACGAAACTAATAGTCCTTCGGGATTCAAATCTCTTTGGACTAATAACATCAAAAATGAAATCATAATATAACAAGATGTTAACCCTCATACTATTTTTGTAAAAGAGAAATGGCGCCTCCTTGAGTAGTACGATGGTTAGCGGTATTATTCGCCATACCACTGGACCAGGATTTGAATCGCAAAGAAGGCATGGATGTTTGTAAATGCGTAATATGGTTGGGGCAGGAGGACACTTAAAAAGTTCTGAAACGAAAGGTCCTGTCAATAGGCTGATTGTAAAGGAAGAGAGGTACGACACCTTTGGATTACGTCCTAGAAGGTACTCTCAACCAAAATTTGAATGAAATTGGTCAAAGTTGCACTTTTCAATCTAAGATACTTCAGACATTGGCCAACGATAGGCGTTCTCTTTACAATGATAAATTCGACTATTTGATCAGGATTTTGTAATAATAAGAGTAGAAAAGATAAATGGCACAGAAAACTGAAAGTATGATCAGTGGTGTCTTTCCATTTGGACAATTCCTGTTGGTTAATTTGCCAAAACTTTTTCTGGTCAGAATATCTTGCTGGAATTTATAAAGCTTCGTCCCACCTATTTTCATTTTTTCTTATTTTATTTGTATATTAACAGTTTCACAAATAGGATCTCTTTTAGTACTTTATAACAAGGGAAATATGTATTATACATTCGAATTTATCTAGTTTCTTATTATTATTTTGTGCAAGAGAAACAGGAAAACACAGAACTCTATTTTAACGTAGGCCTACGTTCTTCAGTAATGGTTTCATGGACAAAAACTTTAACACGCAAACCATGTCTTAGTGGAACGCTTATATCTCAATAACCGCAAAAGCTATAACTTTCGTTTATGGATCATTTGGTAGTTAAAGAATATCATTATAAAAGATACGAAGAAAGATTTGAAAATTGGAATTGTGGTTGAACCACAGTAGTCTCAAATTTACGCAAAAAAGACATAATATTTTAATGACATCACAAGTGCGAGTGTACGTATAGATTTACGATAAAAATCAGTACTGAAATATGTTCGTTATTTTTCGAATCATCGATCAGTTTTGTATAAAGTTTGCACTACTCCACATTATATTCAGAAATAATGTTAGGAAAAAATAATTAATGCATTATTATTACATTCATTCTATATTTCTCCAAATTTTCCCAAACAATCATTCTTTAAAGCAACAAAATAATATGGAAAATAAACAAAAAGAACGCTTAATCAATCACATAAAATATTAAGAAACTTTAAAATTCTTAGGAAATAGTCCTACGCATCTAAACGAAAGTTTTGAAGAAGAAAATTTTTAATGAAATGTATAACTGATTATTTTTAATAACATTTTTATAACGGTGTAAAGAAATTTATAGGTTATAAATTTTGTCTCAGCTCCCCTGTTTTTCCTCTCGTTATTAAGAAACCATTTTTAAAATGCCCCATTAAAAAGCTTCATAAAAGAATAGTACCAATGTTAAAATTACTAGTCCCTTGTTTTGTTTTAGATGCTAAAATATGTGTTAATATCTACACTGAGTGACAAAAATCATGAGATAACAATGCGCAAATATACAGATGACAGGAGTATCACTTAAAAAAATGTATAAATGGGCAGTGCATTGGCAGGGCTTTCATTTCCAGTGACATCTACCTTAGAACAGCCCGATAAAACATTGCAAACGGCATGTTATTCACGGCATATAGCGGAACCTGAAAGAGCTTTCATTTGTATTCAAGTTAATCATGTGAAAAGGTTTCTGGCGTAATTATGGTCGCATGACGGGAATTAACAGATTTTGAACGCAGAATGGTAGCTGGTGCTAGACGTATGGGATATTCCATTTCGAAAATCGTTAGCGAATCCAACATTCTGAGATGCACAGTGTCAAGACTGTGCAGAGAATACCTAGTTTCAGGCATAGCCTCCCATCATGGATATGGCAGTGGCCTGCATTTAATGACTGAGACCGCCGACGAGTAGAATTATCAGTGTTAACAGACAATCAACACTGTGTGAAATAACCGCAGAAATCAATTGGGACGTACGACGGAAGTGTCCAGCAGGTCAGTACGGAAAAATTTGGCTTTAATGGGCTACGGCAGCAGAAGATCGAGTCGAGTATCGTTACTAACAGAACGACATTCACCTGCAGCGCTTCTCGTCGGCTCGCGACAATATCGGTTGGACTCTAGACGACTGGAAAACCTTGGCTTGGTCAGATGAGTCACGATTTCAGTTGCTAAGAGCTGATGGTAGGGTTCGAGTGTGGCGCAGACCCCACGAAATCATGGACCCAAATTGTCAACAAGGAAAGTGCAAGCTGGTGGTGGCTGCATAAGGGTGTGGGCTGTTTTTCCAGGGCATGGTCTGGGTCCTCTGGTCCAACTGAACCGATCATTTACTGGAAATAGTTATGTTCATCTATTTGGAGACCAATCGCAACCACTCATAGACTTCATGTACCCAAACGACAGTGGATTTTTATGTATGACAGTGCTCCATGTCACCGGGCCACAACTGTTCGCGATTGGTTTGAAGAATACTCTGACAATTTCAGCTAATTATTTGACCACTTAGATCGCCCGACATGAATCCCATCGAATATTTATGGGACATAATCGAGAGGTCAGTTCGTGCACAAAATCCTGCACTGGCAAGACTTTCGCAATTATGGATTATATAGGAGGGAGCGCTGCTCAATATTTCTGCAGGAGACTTCCAACGACTTGTTGAGTCCATGTCACGTCGAGTTGCTGCACTTTGCCAAAAGGAAGTCCGATACGATATTAGGATACATTCCATGACTTTTGTTACCTCAGTGTATAAGCCGTTCTTTTAGTCCGTTATAACAATCGCCAGCTTCCAAGATATTGGATAAGTTGTAGAGACATTAGGTTATTTCGAAGCAGGAGACATGAAAAATGTGCAACGCCCTCACCGGGCTCGAACCACGGACCTCTTGAATACGCTTCGATTGTGCTGGCCATTACACATTACACCACGAAGGCATGGTAAAAAGGCGGAAGAAATATCTTATAAAGTCAGTGAGAGGGAACACAAAGGAAAATGAAAACTAGCCTGACGGATTATTTCTTTACCAAGTACTGCATTGTTATCATAAATATCTGTAGTTCCTGAAATAGAGTAGAGAGATTGTTTCGTGTAATACCTGCTTTCCAAGCAGCGTAGATAAAATACAATGTAAATGTCTGCATTTTCTTCTAGGTCTTTCTATAAAATTATAAATAAAATTAAGCAGGAATGTGCGCAGTATGAGATAAAATTCAGCTCATGTACCGCAGAAATTTAACTTTGCAGTAAAAGGCAGTACCAATGTTCTACAATATATAAACTAGATTTGTCCGCCATTCCTGGAAAAGGATCCATCAAGCTTATCGTCATATTAATCCTATTGCCATCGAACGTGTGTTATTGGAATAGCAGCATCAGCTAGCTTTGTGCATTGTTAAAAAGAAATATTTTAAACGTCTTGCAAACATACCTGTACATGGAATAGCGGTTCTCAACCTTTTTGTTTCACATACCCCGTAATGACACTTAATTATTTCCCGTACCCCTTAATGAGACAGTAATTATAAAGAATTTCTAACCCACTTAACCTTAAGAACCTATAATCCCCTATATTCAGTATTCTCGCATGTAGTGCTATTATTTTAATATCATAAAATTGATAGACTGTAATGAATAAAGTCAGATAAGTGTAAGTTATTCTTTTTCAGAGAATGTTAATTTTGAGGCTGTTTTAAATGCATTTTCATTGATAGGATCTGAAATCCAGTTGTCTATCTCTCCTCGTAAGTAATGTTTGAACGATTCTCGAAGGCTTGCTAAGTAGGCTCTTACGCGTTCTTTGACTCCTTTTCTAAACTGAAGATAATTTTTTTTGACAAGATTTGTAAACTGTTCCGAATATTTCGGTGCAAATGTTTTCTTTTAAAGATTCTCAGAATTGAGCATCTTGAACAAAGACTCAGTTTTTTTCAGGCGCTTTGAAAGCAGTTATGGAACTTCTCTGTAATCTTAAGCTCAGTTTATTTTTGAAAAAAAATATCGAATAGTTTTGCAAGTACTTGAAGCCATTTATCATTGTGAATTTCCAAGCTCATTTGAAACAGACGATATCGCAAAACTTGTTTAGCACAGACGCTAAATCGAAACTATTTGCGAGAAGCAGCTTCTATCCTGTACAAAGATCTACTTCTTCTTAAAACAAAGCTTCACGCTCAAACTTGTTTGCATACTGCAATTTAAAAAAGAGAGCCACATAACTGACTTGATTTATTCACCAAAAGCTAAAAATACAATAATCGTATACGATAGAGTGTAACATAATATGAAAGGAAATAGTTAGATGTGTTGCATGAGTAATCAAGTAAAATGACAAGTGTGGGCCGGACTAGCTACAACTTATTACATTGCTTTTAAACTCATTTCGGGTAGTAACATAGTAAGAGTCCTTTATGTTAATTAAACAGTTAGTTTATGTTTTGGATCTATACTGTCACTTCTCCCTTGCGCTTTCCTGCCAGAATGCAAAGTAGTTGGAGTGTATTTAAGGTTACAATTTGAGACAATGTAAAACAGAGAGTGTTCTGCCCCTCGCTGCCACGTTACTATTTTAGATAAGAGTTTTTGTCTTTCGCCTTCCATTACAATCGCCGATGTTTAAATTCTACATCTGCTAAGTATTGAGACAACTTCACGTTAAAGTGATTGTGTAGGCTTGGGCTATTAGTTTATTTAAGTTTAAATTTTGCTTTTTATTTATTATTACTTTAAGATGTCTAGCTATATGTGGTTGGCTGAGTTATGAGCAAAATTGTGAAATCTGTTCTTATTTAGTCTTAAGAAAGAGTCTTTTACACCTTCCTTACGTTTCAGTTGTTACATTAGAATTAGCGATAATTCACTGCCAGTTTATCTAAAATTGAGTTACAATGTATGATTGCAAAGAAAATATCTAAGCCTTACAACATTCACATCAGAATTAATCAAACTGATTTTAATTCTAATCAATGCTAAATTAAAATTTCTTCGATTTTATGAGCATTTATTATAATACTTTGATATTTTCTATCATCTCTGATAATTTTTCACGTACCCCTAGGGGTACACTGAAGATATGTATTAGATTTATATATAGCATTGCTCTAATATAGGTATTTTGACACAAATCGGACTTTTTGGTGTGTGGACCCCATAACACTTACGAAAATTTTGTGGGACCCCATAAGAGTTGCGCAAATCCGACACACGCGTGAGTGAAACCATCAGTTTCTGGACTTGCACTGTAATAAAGTATTGCAGTTTTAGGTCATTAGCTTAAAAAATTAAAGTAAAATGAACGTTTCTATTAAAAAAAATGCGTCGAAATGGTTTCGCTTTTTCTTTGTCTATAATGTCTTTTCTTTATCTATTTTCAGATACATTAGGGAAAAATATTTGGTAATTCTAAAATTATCATAATAAGTAAAAGAAATACCAAAATTGCTAAAGTTTTGGCGATCTCCTACTGCAGGTACCGCGACTCCAACTCGAGTCGCGACCCACAGTTTAAGAAACTCTAGTCTAAAGTATCTGGAAGAAAGGATCCGTCAGGCTTGTCGGCATACTGATCTTACTATCATCAGATTCTAGTTATTATATTGTTAAAGTGCTGCATCGATTGGATCTTTAAGCACTGTAAGGAAGAAGGGTATTTGATTTTAAAACATACCCAATATATATGGACTTAATGGAACAGTCTGCATTATTAATTGCTATATTGGCACGAATAAGAACCATTCTTTCTTTACTGATACAGATTTTTAAACAATCAAAAAAAGTTTCTTTCCGAAGAAATTCTAAAAACGTTAGGCACTTACTTTTCGGTAGACAGCAGCTTTGAGTCCTGACCGAGGTACAACAGAAGAAATCATTAAAAGGTTCAAGTCGTGGGCCAGAAAAAGGACAGATAGGACAGTTACCAAGAACAAGATAAGGCAGTAAATGTAACCATGCCAGGCAGGCTCATCACTATCCGTGAAAGTAATCAGCCATCTATATTAAAAGGAAGAATTGCTTAATTTGTAACCGTGTCATACAGCTATGAAAATTTAATTTTGTCTAAGATGTCAGCTTTTAAATATAAGAATGAAAGAAAATTTAATAGCTTAAAGCCTTTCTGTTAAAGAAAGTAAGAATCAGAGAATTCTTTAAAATTTTTGATAGCAAGAATATATTAATCATTACTACAGAGATACAACTTACGGGTCAGAAGATTGATCGGCTGCAGTCGAGCCATAATTCTTATCATTTAGAATTTATAGCCAAAAATACGAAAGTTTGATTTATTTTAATACGGCAAAGCACACGGGGGCTATCTGCTTGAGGGGAGGGATGTCTTCGTAGAGAACCATCTAAGGAAAACTGATTCGTAACCACGTTACATATGGGTAAAAACACGAAACCCCCATGCCACCAGTCCTGGAATCGAGCCCAGGTTTAATTACCAGTATTTAGTGACATTACCAAGTGATTGCAATCTAACCACAACTCTTTTGAGTAGCAAATCCCAGTTTACCGAATGAAAAGAAACTGCTGTTGAGTCACAATTTTCTTCATTATAAGGAACTTATTTGATTCTACAAAGTTTTAGGACTAATTTTGTAATAACTTCCAGCAAATCTACTAAACGATAATTGAATTATTCCGATGACATCACAAATTGCTTTTCCTAATATATCGCCTGCTTGTGGATAGAATTTTCTGTGCAGCTCATCGTTTGCTTTGATCCAGAGAATATCTGCTATCATGGATTCAAAAACGAGCAAAGAATAGGAAATTTTGCTCTAAAACCGATAAAATAGAAGACATTTGAGGTGTTAAAGCATACAAGGTTCAAGCCTTTGAATGATATCCAATGTTTTCTGTTGGTGCAGAAACTTTCATGATGAATGCGAAAGAGCTAATGATGACTAAGAATAGCCATCCTTTGCAATTCTGAAGGGATAAGAATGCTGCATATGTACGAAAATTGTTGCTGAAAAACCTTCATCTGTTTTTTCCTATAATGGCTGATAAGTAATATTTATTTGAAAAGATTTTGATAATAAAGCTGATGAGCAACATTCATTAGCCTTAAGCATTGACTGCAGAACAGAAAAAAGATCGAGTTTCTGCATGTCATGATTAGAGTTAACTGATAAGTATTAACTCTGATTTTTTTAAGCAAATTGTTACTGGAGATGAAATTTGATGTTTACTGATGGTAAACAACGGCAGTCATCTCCTTGGGATGAAGAAAGTTAACATGGCCACACAAATTTTGGTCTCAGAAATCTCGAGTAAAGATGATATATGTAACATTTTTAGATTGCAAAAGGAATTTTTCCTGTGGGACTGACAATGAACTCCATACTTTACAAAAACGTAAGGCGCAAGTTTCTGAAGGTAATTTAGCTCGTATGGCTTGAAAATATTCAGTCGAATAATCACTTATTTATTCTGTGCTACCATGCGTGTCAAGCAATGCCATTTTCGTCAAGTAAGTTTCTAGCAAAGAAAAGTGTCATAGTTTTTAACGCTATCTTTGTATTCGTCAGATTTGGCACCTGTATTCTCTTTCCTAAAGTAAAATCTCAATCTAGATCATTATTTTAATAGCACTAAAATTTTTTCAGGTATCCTTAACTGGAGATTTAAACAATATTCCGAAAGGTTTAGGTTTGTTTAGCAGCGGCATAGCATACGAGGGCTATCTGTCTATTAGAAGGCAATTGATCGTAGAAAACTTTATAAATGGAACTTGCTCGTATACACGTTACACATGGGAAAAACCACAAAAAGACCCATGCAGCGAGCCTGTTCGGCGGACCGAGCCATCAGTGTTTAACGAATTTGCTGCTCGGCCTCTGGTGGACCGTATTCCGAAAAAAAAATGTCTACGAAGGAATCAAGCAGCTGAATGAGAGTGTCAACAGTTGTATAGGTTTACAAGGATCATATACAGAAGCCTAAGAAGTAAGAATGTGGTTTTCTTCAAATTACGCTCCCATACGAATTTCTTCTTAAAACTGTGGAGACTCTATCCGTATCTCTTTAATTGAGAGAGTTCTTCATTATTTAATTTCAGTTTGCTTTTTATGCTTCCACTTTCTTACTTGCTCATCGTATTTTTATCGTATATAATTTATTTGTTATTCTTTATAATTTGTAATCGTATATAACTGACCATATTATTAACGATAACATTTATTCCATAATCTAAGTCAAGTTAGTTATTAAATAGTAAAATTTTTGATCCATGATAGTTAAATGTTCTAGACATTCCTAATATTTCCATGAAATGCGATAGACTTGGAAATAATGCGTTTAATAATAGCTTGGCAAGGTATCCGATACAAAAACATAAGAAAATTCCAATATGTTTTTGAAATTTTGCTGTGTAAGGGGCTCTTGAACGTTACCAAATTTTTAACTCCTCCGTCTTCGGCAAATTCCTCAGGGCATTCATTTTACTTTAAATGCATGAAAAATGCCTCATTACAACAAACTGCTCGAACTGTAATTTCAAAGATAATGTAAATTACAATTATAGCAATAAAGAATGCATCAAATGCTTTTCTTGATTACATTATACTTAAATAAGTAATGTAAGTAAATCTGACGATCATTCCAAAATACTGGATCCGTTTTTCATGTTTAAAATATTTTCCTTCCAGTTATTTGAAGCCACATACAAATAAAAACATAACAACATATATGATAAGTACTTAGTTTACTTTAAAGGGTTCATAATAATATGTATTATAAATACTTACTCTAATATAAGTGGAGGAACGAGGACGAATACGTCGTAAAGAAACTCTAAGAAAGCTGCTGCTAAGAACCATGGCCAAAGAGCTTTTGCGAGGGCAAAGAGAAGAGATGGTCCTCTTCCAAAAACGCCCACAGTTTTATTGCCTTCTGAACCACTTCGCCTATGGGTAGAAATGAAAAGATTCTACATAAGTATTTAAACTGGTTAAACATAACTATAAGACAAATAAAAATGGGTTTTAAACCAATATTTCCGGCTACGCGCTGCAAGCTGCAACAACAAGTAGTGGTATTGAAAAATAAAAACTTTAAACCCAAATGCATATTCAAACTAATATAATTTTTTTAAAAATTGTTTGCTTTAGCAATAAACCACTGTGGATGAATAAACTAGCCCAGCAATGAGATCAACAGTGCATAAATATTTAAGATGTGCAGAACATATTGCCACGAAATAATAAGTGTAAACAAAAGTGTAGTGGAAATTGGTGTTTCAAGAGAAGCAAATGAAGCAGCATTTGCCTCTTCATCTACGTCAGATCTGATAATGACACAAATATATCAAATATATATATATATATATATATATATGGTTTTTGATAGTTCTCGATAAAATTAATTTTTTTAAAGGAAGATTGTGTTACAAATGGCAGTAGAATAGATTATTGAATCGTGGATAACTGAACAAAATCCTTTTCTTATTTCAGCCTGTATGGGTTTAATGGGACACAAATTGTTTTCTAGTTTATTAAAGTTTTGAATTTAATAATTTTGTTTCATTTATCGGTTTGAAAACAGGACGTTCCATTTACTTCTCTCGACGCATCAATCCCCTAATGGCGATGTGCCCACAGACGTAAATTCTTTATATTTTTTCATTCCTTATTATTTGCGCCATTTTTTATTTTTTGGCTGTACTGTTTGCACTTTTAAAGCATTTATGCACTATTGATCTCATTGCTGAATTAGTTTACCTATACACACTGACTTCTTGCTTAAACAAACAATTTTTGGATTTTATGTATTTAATGTTTTTACTTTGCTTATATCATCGGTTGAGCATCTCTTTTCTTGCTGACATATGCAGCCACAAAATACTTGGCGCTAAACCTGCGCCAGAACAACTATACTGGTATCTTTTAGATTTTTTAACGTATTTGAAAAAGAAAGTGCAGTTAGCTTTAGCAAATTATCAGTAGAAAAGGGAGAGAGAGATTGCAACATTTCCAGTATGAAAGTTTGGAGGTTTAGTTCAATTCATGTTAAGTTTTGAATCCCAAATTTGAAATCATTATTTGCTGAAACGTTATGTAACTATCTGCGTCATTAGAGTTATGAAAGAATTATGTCAAGTATGAAAGAATTTGTAAATGACGCAGCAGTTTAACATGATGAAGTTAAAATTTTTAGGACAGAAAGTGGAAATAACCAAATTAAAATAGAAAGGAGGGACTATTGTAAATTGAAGCTAGAAGTTTGGTTTGTATTTTTTTTCCTTACATATTTGCATATATCCCAAGTTTATATCTTGCCAATGACGTATTGACAAGTTCTGGGAAACTGTTTTTAATGTTTAATTTCAACATCCCTCTGTTAAGCTTTAGCTAACAAGTAACAAACTTGACAAATGATCTTAACAAACAGCGAGCTTCACAAGGATTTTCTGTTAAAATTTAAATTTTGTACCACTGAAATAGTCTTCTCAGAAATAATGGTAATTTTCCCACATGCAGTCTACCACTATATGAATTTGCACCATGTTTTTTAACGTGTTTAACATTTAACAAGGTGTGTACCTTGTTAATGTAAATGTATACCTTCTAGTATCCTATAAAATGATCTGCTATTCCACCTGAGCTGTCTCTATTGATAATCTATGCTGATAACCATATTAAAAGTTTAAAAATGTCCTTTTGTGCGAATGTGAAAATCTGAACTCTTTCAGATTTTTTTCCTCGGATTTCTGATTATTTGTTCACAGTTTCGATTGAAAATAGTAGATTTCATATCTGCTAATGCCTTTCACTGCTGTGTTAGGCTACAGATGTTTAAATATATATATATATTGATTTACAGGCTTGTCATTATTTCTAGAGCAGAGCTGGTCTGCAGGATTATAACATGCTCTGCAGAATGTATATATCAGTGGTAAACGTTTTATGATTGGAAGACAGTTCATAATATCTAATGAGTAAATCTCTTTACATCTTTTTTCTTCTGTGTATATTTTTTAATAATTCATAGTTTTTATTGTTTTTACAGTTTAATAAATAACTGTTAGAGACAGAGATATGTCTGGATAATTATTTCATATTTTTAAGATTACATATTAATTGTTATTTGCGGCAAGTCGCGTAAGATGTCTGTAATAAAGCTACAATGTTTAAGAAACAAAATTTTGTTTTAAAAAAGCATAAATTTGTTGCCAAGCCTAACGTGTAAATTCTTTCTAAAAAGAGTCGCAGATTATATCATATTATTAACTACAGTATTTGCACAGATTACATTTTAATCGATATAAAGTATTACCATTGTACTCAGCATCAAAATATGTCACAAAACGTACATAAAATTAATATATAATCCATTCTGTGATAAGGGAACAACATTTAAAAAGTTGGTCTCGTGGTTGAAACCAATATTTGAATGTTTTTTAATTCCTTATTCATAATCCTGTTAATCTGAAGAGAAACTGCCGTTAGGAAATCAAGCTTGCACGAGAACTAATAATTCATGTACATCTAAGTAAGCTGTTCGGCAAGAATAGACTATATTATAGTGAATAAAAAAAATAATTAGCTGAAATGATAAGAATTCATGAATAGTTTTAGAACAGGATAATATTTATTGTAAACAAAAATATGTAAAAATATACTTACTTACTTCTTGCTATCGCATCTTCGAACATCCATGCAGCGTGAAAACGTTGATACACGTAAGTTGTTTTCATATCTGGGTTAATAAGGTCTACGTCATCAGTAGTGATTGTATTACGGAATCCATACCAGATTGTCCTTTAACAGAAGACAAAAGCGAATACCACAGAAAATAGTCGCAAGCACCATAAAAATAGAATTAATTCAGTTATATGCTGATTTTTTGTGTGTTTTAGTGTTACCATGTTTATTGTACCATGTTTATTCATCATTTTGTTATGTATTGCATCATGTTATATTGCAGACACCTAATTGAACCATCAATACCCAAATGAATAAAGTCCCAGAAGATTGATAATTGCGATATATTCTTGGACAGAGAATTGACTATATTAATTTTCCCATGCAGACATTGCAGAAAAAAAAGGGGCGGTGATAATTCTGTATCTCCCGTTTTACTGGGCCGATTGACGATATTTAACTTGCATTTATCTTGTCTCGAAAGCGCGATTTAGGATATATATATATATATATATACAGTAGACTCTCGATTATCCGCGCCTGCCACACAAGTTTTTTTTTTTTTTTTTTTTTTTTTTTTTTTACAAGCGTAAATCAAAGAAAATAAAAATGTTCACAAAACTGAACGAAACGTTAAATTTGCTAAACATCGTGCTTATTTATAACAAAAATATCCCAGGTCTTCTCGGAACCTTCCCCTCTGATGAGTAAGTGATTTCTTACTCACCTTTGCAGTGCCCGCTCCACCGCCCTCTCTCGTCTTAATCTTACTGACACGTCCACTTCCTCCCACTCGCCATTGTTAGTTTAAGCCTGATAGTGTTTGCGAACCGGTCGGAGTTAATTCTTATCTTTTATGTTGTTAGTTGTTTTGCCTTTTTGTTTTTGTGTTTTTCGTTACCGATTTAAAATGTCAGGAAAACGAAAGAAGGTTGTGTTGACGATTGCGCAAAAACTAGAATTAATTTTCAAAGTAGCAAACGGCGCTACAAGGCAGCAGATGGAATTGGATCGTGGAAACAACAATGCGTGACATTCTAAAGCAAAAAGACAAACTGGTGAACTTTGTATCAATGTCGGACAGTGCTTCCGCAATGAAAACGCGAAAAACTATGAAACCTTTGATGAGCTAGACACGGCATGGACAGAGTGGTTAGCTCAAGTTCGAAAAGAGGGTACTCCTGTGAATGGTCCTATCATTGCAGCGAAGGCAAAAACCTTTTTTGAGTTATTAGGAAGGCCTGAAATGGAAATTTTGATGCGTCGTTTGGCTGGTTGACTCGTTTTAAGCAGCGACATGGAATTCGAGAAATTGAACTTCATGGGGAGAAACTTAGTGGTGACCAACAAGCAGCCGACGATTTCCACCATGAATTTGAAGACAAGTCGACGGACTGCTGAGCTATTTGGAAGAACAAGACGACGCGGAATTGGCCGAGAAACTTATGCTACGAAAAATGCCATCTCGGATCAAGAGAAAATGCTTCCAAAGCAAGAAGCAAACACAAATGACTGATTTCTTCTAAAATGTGTAGTTTTACAGTTATGCTTTTGTAATTACATAATACATTACAGTATTAAAACAGTACATATGTTTTAATTTTTCTGTGTATCCTTGACGCCTCTCGTAAGTACAAAGCACTTTTCTGTTTTCATTAACAGATTGCATTTTAGGTTAGTTGTGAGTGATATACTAAAATATTAAGCGTTAGTTAAATATTTCCTGCTGTTTGTTTTACGTTTCATTGTACATAAAACGATTTTTCAAAGTTGGAATGACTGTTTTCTCTTTTGCTATACCCGTTTTTAGCTTTTTTCGGGTTATCCTCGATTTTTGTTATCCGCGGCGGCCGTGCCACCCAATTCCGCGGATAATCGGGAGTGTACTGTATAGCATTGTTGTAACATGGGAATTCTGACGCAAAATAAGACTTTTTTGAAATGACGTATCGATTTTTTTTTTTTTTTCCCACATTTTGATTCTTCGACTCAAATTATACCACAGTGCGAGGTTTTGTAAAAATCACAGGAGTAATTTAAAAAAAAAAATAGCTCCCAAAATTTTAGCTCCTTAGTATTAACTGAATTGGTTATATATTTATAAATATCTCATTTTTTTTAACTTCCTGTTGTTGTTATTGTTGTTTATGCTCACTTGTGTGACATAATGGGAAGAAAATACCTTATAAAACCATTAAAAATACGCAAATATAGAGATAGTGATAAGAGTAATAGACATGAAAGTGTCAAAGTAGAAATAGATGTGATAAGAGTAAAAAGTTGCTTATGTCTTCAGAAAGTTACGCATGAGCTCGAACAAAAATAATAATTGGTCATGCCTCAATATAGCAACTGATAATAAAACAAAAATGAAATTGAAACCAATTTTATGTTGATATCGTTATCTTTAAACAGCTTCTAAATTACTTGAATATTTCGCAATATTACTGATACATCATTTTATGAATGCATAGTTAAAAAAGGATCCTGAAAAGATAATTATTAATTTCTTATCAGAAATAAAATATAATAACTATTACTCAGAACCTAGTGTAAATTCGATGTCTCAGCAGAAAGGATACTGTCAAGGGCCAAACTAGTTGTATTAATCACACACAGCCAAATCAGAAGCTACAATGGGGGATGGTAAACCTGTGGATTTATCCGATGCTGGAAAAGCAAATTGTTGTGTCACAAAAATTGATGTTAGCAAATGTTACATTGCATGGAATATACAGAATTTCAGTTATTGTCGCCAAGCCAGTGGCGAGAGCATGCAAAGTTGCATTTTCTCAGATGGTGAACCTAGCGGTTTGAAATTCCTTTTGAATCTCTATCCCAGAGGTACTAAAACAACAACGGATAATGTGGTGATCAGCCTCAAACTCCTGTCGGATAACAACAACGTTCGTGCCCTCGTGAAGTATGGCTGTTTCATCTATAAGGATAATAAATCCTACTATATGCGCGTGGGAGAGAAAGTTATGATTCCGGGATCGTACACTCAGGATATTATCCTTGTAAATCGCGATGAACTTTTCAAGAGAAAAAACGAGCTATTTCCAGATGATAAGATTTTTTTTATCTGTGCCTTGCAATTAGGATTCAAAGAAGAAATGGGAGGTAACGTCAGAAGTCAGCTTTAAAGTGTGACAATTTTTCAATCAAATAAGATAAGATATTTAAATTTGTTTAATAATAATTGAACTTGTTTAATAATAACGTAATAATTGTTTAGTAGAAGGTCAATAGATTGGGTTATTATTTTTTCTAAGATGAAGAAATGCCTGGATAACAAACTCTTAATAGCTCAAGATCCTTTTTTTAATATATAAATCTTTGCTAAACAAATGTGTTTGCTTTTATCTGTGGTAATAAACTATTGTAAAACAACTATGCATCCAATGAATTATATCTTCTAATTTTGAGTCAATCTTGCTTCATTTAATTTAATTTTATTTCATCTGTATATGTGTCATTATAATTAATGGAAGAATTTTATGCGTAGTAAGTTAAATAAAAGTTAAATTCATTTCATATTTGTATTTTTTAGTTAACATTTATTCATTTTGATAATAGCTTAATTACTGAATAGGTTTTTTAAATTTTATCACCACTTGCTCTATTATTGGTAATTTATTTCTGAATAGAAAATAAATTTTAAAAAAGAAAGAGAAAACAGTAAACATAATAATGGTACATGTTTTCTGTACTTTCAATGCCTGCTCTTTGATAGTATTTAAGTTTTTTAAATGATTGGTTAAATGCAATATAATGATCACTAACTGGAAAGTTATTCGCTGAAATTTTTATTGCATCTATATAAAAAAAGTATTAATGTTGTATATGCAAAGTTATGAAATGAGGAATGAAAGACTGAAAAAAGTCTTAAAACTCTAACTCTTGGATTAATTTCAAACAAGAACATTCAATATTTCGTTAGTTTGCAGAGTTTCTCACTTCGAAATTCTATGTTGGAAGTGAAGAATCTAAGAACTGATAAGCGAATAATCGCTTGAGTTCGGTGACAAGAAACAACAAGATAGAAGGGTAACTAACCCTTTATTATTCCAATAAGATTTAACAAAACTCAAGACAAAACAAAGCCCGCACTTGGACTTGAACTTAAAAGACTAAGGATTAAACTGAAACTAAGATTAACTAAAGAAGTATAGCCGAAGCTATCAAGGTTCAAATCGAGTTGGCCCCTTAACTTATTTGACTACGAAGCTTAGCAAGGGCCTGAGTACGGCCGAGCGTAATAACAGCTTTGAAAGAGAGAGTGGCCAAAAAGGCAGACGCGCGTAAATCAGAAACTCTGATTCTCTCTGACTCAGTAAGTAACTTCGTGGTTTAAATACCGCTCCTCCTCATTAAATATTCAGCAAGATTCCAAAACTACGTTCTGGCCGGAAGTAGTAAGTTGGAGTTAAGAATTTGACAGGAAAGGAACTTTAACTTAAAATTTAACTGTTAATAAAATTAACATAATCCTTACAAGTTAATAGCACTTTTTCAGCGAAGTTGTCCTAAGAAAGAGAAAGCTCATCTTTATCTTTTGAAATGCACTGAGCATTTTCATCTGAAATTTCAAATAAAGTTTCAATTTTGCAAATATTAAAGTCCAGGTTCCCATGCGTCTCTTTTATTTATTATACCGTTGTTTACTTTAGTTGTAGGAAAACCAAATTTATTTTAAAAAATATATTTAAAAGTAAAAACTAAAGCATTTCGAGTTCTAAAAAATTTTAGGGATAATTTTAAAATTTAGAACTAAATCTTTTATTACTTTTAAATGGAAATTTATTTAATTTTATTTAGTCTTCAATGCATAAATGTCGCAGCTAATCAGGATGTTCTATTATTAGTTCATTTGTTTTGGACTTTAAATGAACACAAAATACGCGAACAGACTTGAGTTTGGAAAATTACAGTTGCTGAAACATTTTTTTAAAAGCTTGTTAATGGGTTTGTATGAAAATGTAAATTTTTTCATTTACCTTCGGCGCATTGAATAATTTAGAATTAGGCAAACTGAATTAAAATTTATATATGCTTTCCTGTCGCTTTGTAAGTTTGCAGTTTTATTACTTCAAGACAGTGGGGGTGGCTATAAAACGCAGAATTATTTGCTACAATGCAAAATAATTTTTTTTGGAAAAAAAATAATAATAATAATTTGTATAAAAAGCGTATTTTTAAAAACTCTGTTATACCTTATGAAAAGGGTGTTAGATCGTAAATTATCCATGTAGATGGTAAGATAATTAGTAAATATTTATGAAAATTAAAAGTTTTTGCATAAATATGAAATGAATATAAATAAGTTATACCTGACGCTGTTAAACATCCTGTACATAAGAAATGCACCTTTCACACACACAGAGAAACGAGTCGAAAGCGCGACTTAGAATATATATTAGATTTATATCTAGCGCTGTTCTAACGTAGGTATTCTTTTTTTTTTTTTCCCTCAAAAGACATACCTATTTTTTCCATATTTCGAATCTACTACTCAAATTATGCAAAAGGCCAAGTTTTGTAAAAATCGCACGAGTAGATTTTAAAAAATTATCTCTGAAAATTTAAGCTCTTAGATGTTAATTGAATTGCCATATTTTTATTAATATCTCTTTGTTTTATTAAACTTACTTGATTACTTTCTTGAGAATTCAAATTTAGGTCCAATCCAAATAAATTTCGCGGCTATTTTCTAACTTGCTTTTAAAATTTGTATTTTTTTAGTAATATTTATAAATGTTTTTGAAAGGAATTATTTTATTATAACCTATAAAACTTTTGCCATCATCTTAAAGTAGATGTATATATATCTAAGCTTACATGAAAAAACTTACATCTGTTTATTCAAAATTTCCCAAGATATATGTGAACTTATTTATTGGTGCGTTTTGCAATTTGGCATATTTGTTACAAACGATAATAACGCCAAATGTGATTTACGCGCTTTATCAAAATTATTTGAAAGAATGAACGATGCACCTTTTTCTCTGCTCGTGCACAATGAAAGGGAAAGAAAAATAGGTTATCATAAAGTAAGAATTTCACCAAGTGAATTATTCTTGGAAATTGAAAAAAAGTGAGCTAAGGTAAATTTTTAAATTTCTCTCTAAAATTTCTCACCAAATTTTACAAAATTTAATATTTACGCATAATTTGAGGCGCAGAATCGGTATATGGGAAAAATTCAGCATGTCATTTCAAAAAAAGGTCCAATTTTTTGTCAAAATACCTATGCTAGAACAATACTATATATAAATCCAATTTATATCCTAAATTGCGTTTTCGACACATAAAAAACGCAGGTTAAATTTTGTCAATTGGCCCAGTAGAACAGGAAATATAGAACTGTCATAGACGAATTTTGAAAAACCCATTTTGAGTAAAACGAAAATTATTTTGAGTATAGAAAAAAGCCATGCATTCAACAACAATGGTTTGGTTGTTGGGTTATCTGAATATGGCGAAGCACACGAGGGTTCTCTTCCTGAGGGAAGGGATGCTTTCGTAGAGGTCTTCCTCCGTTCAGCAGTATTTGAATCCCGGACAGAACTACCAATATTCAGCAACTTTACCGTTCAACCGCTGGATGGCCAAAAACAATGGTCCAAAACTACGTAACTTTAATGAAATTTAATCAAATCCTTACTTACAAAAGTGAGTACTCAATATACATTTCACTTCGTTTTTACAGTAAATACAGACGGATATTTATACTTGTATGTCATTTTATAAGGGTGTTCAACTGGTTTATTCCGGCAGTAATATTCTGCTTTTAATATAATTTCAGTTTTGTAGGATCAATCAACTACAGATGCACTTCTGTAAAATGTGACGATATTTTTGAAGCAATAGCAAAAAATCTACGCCACGATTCAAAGTTCTTATTAGTAATTCAATTTTAACAAAACCAATTTAGTCAAGCCATTATAATTCGTCTCCCAGCCCATTTATGTCATAGTTTTATTCTGAGTAATTCTTGAACTTATAATTTTTCTAAAAGAAAAGAACAAGAGATTTTACGAGAAGAATATAAAACTATTCAGAAGACGTTGAAAACTGGTCAACGAAATTATGACAAATGATGACCTAAATCCATGTATATTCAAACGCTTCTTTAGTACGTGTTTGTTTGCTTAGGTTATTATTGCTTATATACTCGAAAATACGCTAAAAACCCGGCTACCGAATTTTGAAACCCGGGAAGGAGGGTACGGATTGTCGGAACTGGTGGTACAGAATAGTTTTTTATTTCATGTTTCACTTTTATTTTAAAAAAATAAAGAGTAAATACTTTCATTTCCAAGAATAGTGATTAAAAACTTTGAAGAAAAAGAAAAAACAATCGTTAAAAATGCTTTTGAAGACAAGATTAGAAAGTTAAAAGCTTTTCATAAAAACCAAGCAAAGTTAAAAATAATTATAGTAGAATGTAATGCATTAAGAAAGTCTTGTTCTTTAAAAACACATTTGGCATTAATGTAGGGAACTGGAACACATTTTACCATTGACTACTGTAGAGATATTAGGTTAATTGGAAAAGCAGGAGAGATTAGCAACCGCCTTCGCCGGGAATCGAACCACAGACCTCTGGAATACCGACCCAGTGTGCAGAAACACCACACGACGAAGACACGCTAAGAAAGCGGAAGAAATACCTTATACTATGACCACCGTTAGACGTCAGCAAGAGCCTTCATTACTTTAACAATTTGATCAAAGTTTGTGTGAGCTTATTAGATTTTTTATATCGGATATATTCCTTAATAACTATATTTTTTGGAAATATTTTGACCTAATTATGAACATAGTATACTTTAAAAGTGCCAAAGAAGATTTACCTGTTTAACCATGAAAACAGAAGCCTCGATAGTATGGGCTGATGTTCCATGATGTATTCGTCCTGAAATTAAAAAAAAATATATATGGATATAAAACGAAAGCATATTTATTTATGCTTTTTTTGGTTAAATTGTTAAAGAATTCTGAATGACCATACCGAACTCTCAAATAACATCTGTAGAGCATGAGCAAAGGCAAAATTCATCAGATTATTAGTGTGCACTTGAAACTTCAGGCTTGAAAACTGTCACTTACTAACAAGTTTGTAAAATGTCTACCCCATGAAACTTTTTCTTCTTTAGAAATTATATGGAAAGGTAAGGCTTGATAAAGCACTGCCATGGATTGTTTGGTGGTGCGTAATATTACCTCATTTTCTTAGAATTATAGTCGTTGGAGATCTACAGTACTACTAACCAGTAAAAGCGATAGCTTATATATTTACAGAAAGATGATATCTGGGCTCCCTATCCAATCAAAGCGCTGCTTTTTTTTTATTTGATAACTAGTTTAAAGCAAGATTTTTTTAACATTATAAGGCCTTTTTGAATAACGTAAAAAGTAAACTAAGCGAATCCGTGAGAAAAGGCTAAAATAAAGCTCAAAGGATAATAACATTGAAGCATCTTCACTTCTTTACCTCATAATTATTATTAGAATTAATGCTTATTTCCAAAAATTATGTTGGGTTATTCTGGATATCTAAAAGGAATATTCTCTACAAAAAAGCAGGATAAAACCGGGAATATATCAGATAGCTAATAAAATATAGAGAGCCAGGAAAATCTGAAGATTTTGAAATTCAAACCATTACCATAAAATGCAATTCAAATATTATTTATTTGATAAAATAAAAGGATATGAAATATCATTTATTATAACAAGGCTAATCCTTTATCCCGCTTCTTATTTTTTGAATAATATATTTTTAAAATGTCTTAAACGGAATTTGATAAAATTTTCTGTAATATAGTTTGGGTATACTGAAGATCTCAAGAGGCTGTAAGAGAGCTTATTCTCTCTTCAGCCTGTTCTTTTTTAAACAACACATTTTTCAAATGTTCTCCGTGGAATTTGATGAATTTTAAAGAGTACTGGTTAGTAGTACTGTAGATCTCCAACGACTATAATTCTAAGAAAATGAGGTAATATTACGCACCACCAAACAATCCATGGCAGTGCTTTATCAAGCCTTACCTTTCCATATAATTTCTAAAGAAGAAAAAGTTTCATGGGGTAGACATTTTACAAACTTGTTAGTAAGTGACAGTTTTCAAGCCTGAAGTTTCAAGGGCACACTAATAATCTTTGATGAATTCAAGATAACTTTATATTAAACAGTTGCAGCTGTACAAATCAATATGGTCCAAACAGCGATGAAAGTCTGCAGGGCAAACTTGAGCTGTAATGCTCAAATGTCATGAAATATTTGAAAAAATGTGTTGTTCAGGTATAATACCGAAAGATAAATGTGGAAAAGCTTTTATAACGACGCCTTGCAATAAAGGTGCTGGAAGTCTGTGAAAATAAGTTATTTGAAAAGACAAAAACCTTATATTATGCTCCATATGTCTGCATTCTAATACAGATCGGTTTTTGATTCGGGAAAAAAGAAACCTTCATAATGGTAAGGGCACTACTACACAAGTAAAATTTTCCTTTACTTTATTAATCGTAGCAGAAAACTCAAAATCTTAAATAAAAAATAAAAGATGCAAACCTCTATGGAGGTCGCTCTTTTTAAGTTGTACGTATCTTTAAGAATGCTCCTGTTTTTACGAACAATGTCTGCAAACTATGAACACTGAACTTGTATAAAAGTGCTGACACTCTTATACCTGGGCACTGTTGAATGGCACTGTTGAAATGGTATTGTAACTCTGTTGTTTTGTAAAATAAATAATATTACATTTCATAGCGGTAGGGACTATCTCAAAACTGTCAGATTCCCTTGCTCAAGCTGTATCATGGAACCGTTCAGTTTTACTTTACTAACATCGTGAATGCTTCCCGTGATAAATTGCATTACAGAGTACTATAGTTCCGCCTGAAAGCTATTGTTTACATGGTGAATAATCTGTCGAGATTTTACTCACTTTCTTTTCATCCCAGAAATAGCTGTATTGAGGATCAGTGAAGAATGAGAGTATCGCTTCTGCTATAACGATGCAGAAGCAGACTGTCCCAAGTATAAAGAGATTAGAATCCACCGTTTCATCCACTTGATCCTAGTTAAAGAAACATGAGACATTAAGAATCATTATCTTGGATATGTTAACTGCATGATAAACTGCAACCAAAGACAAAAATTAAGGTATCTAAAAGAAGACATTATATGGAAATCATTAATATAGTTTTTTTTTCCTTTCATGTCTGAAGTCTACATAACGAATTAATAACTTTTCTAACTTACTGTTAGAAGAAGATATAAGGGAGATCCCATTGCGTCACAAATAACGTATAAACTCCAAAATATTGCCAAAATGAAAGAGTTGAGCTGGCCTTTACGCATCTGTCTCAGTTGAAGAAATAGAGCTAGAACCTGGAAAAAAAAGTGATTTTTTTAAGGATGACTTCACTTTCATCACTAGAAAAAACGATTATTTCTCAAATTATATATCTAGGAGTTTTCAGGAGTAAATTGTTATTGTAGCTTGAATTGAAAATTTTTGTTTAAAAATTATAATCGGTCTTCATATGAAATTGTAAATCAAATTATGTTTGCAAATTATGTTCTTGGATTTGGAGGTCCATTAAAATCATGCAATTAAGTACTAGTTAAGTAGTTTGGCTCCAATAAAAATTCCCGCTTTCCAATAACTGATTCCCTCTTAATTTTTATCTAACAAGCAAATAATAAAATCAAATTTAAAAATTTTAACAAAACATTTTGTAAAATAAATTTGTTTCCAAAAGCAAAACTTTTCTGTTTTCGTCTTTAGAATTTTTTTAAATATAATCCTGAGATTTTTACGAAGGATTCATTTTAATCTTTTAAGCATTCTCAGATATTTTTGGCCTTTTATTTATTTTTGCCACTGGTGATTGTCTGTAATTTAACTGAAAAGGATAAATAAACTGTGACGCATCTGACGAAAAGACGCATCTGTGCACTTAAATTGAGACCTTGTAGTTTACGGATCTAAAACTATCAGACGAATATACGCATTTAACCTCAATGAATATAAATAAGAATCATACGCAAAATATGATGGAATGTAACATATCAGCCTATCTGAAATTATGGATATAAAAGGAGTCGGAAAAAACATGATGGCCCATAATATTTCTGTTTGTTTTAGGTTATTGATCTAAAACTTACATTGATGAAAAAAAAAAAAAGACATAACTGGGGGAAAAAAAAAAAAAAAAAAAAGCAAGAAGGGACAGTTCTATATTTCCCATTCTACTGTGCCGACTGACGAAATTCTAACTGCGTTTTTAATGTCTCGAAAGCCCGACTTAGGATATAGATTTATGTATAGCATTGTTCTAATATAGGTATTTTGACTCAAAATCGGACTTTTTTTTAAATGAGATGACAATTTTTTTCATATTTCGATTCTAGTACTTAAATTATGTCTAGATATTAAATTTTGTAATTTTGGGTGAGAAATATATGGAGAAATTTAAAAATTTACCTTGGCGATTTTTTTTAGTTTGCACCAAGAAGAATTAACTTGGCGAACTTCTTAATATATAGCAACCTATTTCCTTTCCTTTTTTACTTCCTTGTACGAAGTAAAAAGGAAGTATTGTAATCGCGAAAAGCTTCAGGCAGCATATTTCAACGAAAATATCCATTTTGACCGCTATCGAATGCAATTTAACGATGTTTTTGCGTGATATCTGTACGTAAGAACAGAATAAAAGAGTCTTTTTCTCCAAAAAACGAAAAACTGCTTTAAATGAATTCTGAAGAGAATTTCGTTCGGCGTCTGATACGTAACGTACGTGTGCGGCGTACGTACGTATCGCATAACTCAAAAACGATGCCTCAGATCGTTGAAATTTTGTATATAAGACTACTATAACATGTAGATGTGCACCTCGTATTTTGGTTCAATCGGCCGCGCCAAACGTATATAAATATATTTATAAATATATCCATTCCGTTACCCGGCTCAGTGATCTCAGTTTCTACTCTTACATGTTTGTAATTGTACGTTTTTGCTTTAAAAATATTGAATTATGTTGTTTTATCATCCGGTTAAACTTTTATGCCTTTCGTAATTCTGGAAGCAATATTTGTACAATTATCAACAATTTAAAAGTGTTAAGTGTGGTTAAGTTTAAATAACATGGCGGACATATTGGTACATTTGAAACAGAGAATTGAGATTGTTCCAATCTAAGAGACTAAGCTTCGCAACACAAAAATAACGCCTTCATTTTATTCGAATAAATCATGCTTAATCCTTTCTGAATTTTCGAGGAAATAGTGTTTTAAGATTACTTCGTAATTTTTAATACAGATATTTGAGTTTTTATGTATTTTGCCTTGTCGAAGTGAAAACTGAATTAATTGAATGAGAAATACTCAATCGTGTGAAAAACTGTTTCTTTTCGTTCTGTTGTTATTTTCTTTATACATCGTTCTAGCTTTGTTATAGTATTTGAATAGAACATGTGGCAACGATCAGATAATCTTTAAATGATATAAATTTTGTGCATTCTGAGTTTAATATGACGAAAATAGAATACTGTTAAGTAAGCCTAGCGCAGAGTGTCGCTATGGTAAAAGGGAATTTTAAAGAATGCATTTCTCTATTGTGGTTATGCGCTGTCGGCGAAGTAGGTTAATTCACTCTAAGTAATGAATGCAAGAAAACATGGGTATAATTTAATTTTCCGTACAAGGAAGTCATGTGGTGTACACATCAGATTTTTTTCATTTACATGAGAGGAAAAAAAGTCATCGTTCATACTTTGAAGTAACTTAAAGTGCGTAAACCGCATTTGACGTTATTATCGCTTATAACAAATATGCCAACTTTCAAAACGCACGAGTATGTAAATTCATGTATATAAGGTACGTAAATTCATGTATATAAGGTACGTAAAGGGTTACTCTACAAACTCATCCTTTTCACCCTTCCCAGGGAAATCATTCTGATCCCTAGCTCCTTCCTTGTAAACTGGATATTCTCAGTGAAGCAGAGTGTACTGCTCCATTTCCTATTCTCGGTGGTGCGCCACAAGCATCGATTTTGAGGAAGATCCTCTATCTTATTTATGTACATGACGTCGCGAATTTCTATCAAGATTATAATATCATGCTCGCCTGTTATGAAAATGACACTATCCTTCTTGCAAGGTTCAGGAACCGAATCACGTACTTGAGACTTCACAGTAACGTCGCTAACATGGAAAACTGGTGTAAAGTTTGGTAAGTCAACGTTAATTCTGAGAAGTCGCAAATTTTGCTAATTCGGCATTATGAGTTTCTCGATGAAATCACGACTAAAATTACCTTGTTCGGAAAGCAGATCTCCACTGCCCAGATCATCCAAATATCTTGGAATCGCCTTCAATCGCAGTTTTGCCTGCATCAATAAAGTGAGAGGAAAATTTATGGTATTTTCAATAGACTGTACTCACTCCTCTCTTTGTCATCTGGTCTCAGCCTTGCCCGAAGGAAAAGAAGTTGCATCGCGGTTATCAGACCTATTTTCACCTACTCTTCCCCGGTCTGAGCGGATGCATCGGAAAATGATATAAAAAAAGATAAAATTTTGAGGATTATCACCTGAGCATCTTACTTATCAGAAATAAAAACTTGTACAATGACCTCAAAATCGATTATGTTTGGGACCACCTGAATAAGTTAAACACAAATTTATGTATGATTGCTGCTACAAACTCTATGGCAAAATTTTCTGATACTTTAAATTATGAAATCCTCGAGGAAGATTACTTCGAGCGTCCATATGCGGGTCACCTCTGCAATATCATAGATTAGAATCCTTCTGCCTCTCCTGGCATCGGCACTTGAAGGACTTTATGTCATTTTCCGAATTCCCAACAGCGCAACTGATGAAGCACTTCCCTCTAAACCTCAGGATTACGAGTTCAATACTCGGTGGTGAATTACTCTCTGACCTTCCAGAGATAAACGAGGACTTTTACTAACACCTCAGTGATTGTACTCTGCATTTATTCTTCATGATTGTATCACCCCAGATGTGATACTGACAAAACTCTACCTACACCTTATATATATTCCTTAGCTTTTGTAATATATTCTTCTTCTTGCAATGTGCTCATTTCATATGTGATTTTTAGAAAACGCGACTATGATTTTTTATAGATTAGTGGAATTTATTTTGCATTAGATACTAACTGTGAGTCAGCTCTTACTGGCTGATCACCACACGTGATCAGAACTTCAAAGGTTTTAGAAAGCACATATTTCTTACTCAATGTATTAGTGTTTTATAGATATTCCGTATATTTCTGCACTTTCGTTTTCACCTGCATCTCAGTAATGGTGCATAGCAATTATTCTTCTACTTCTTAATTACCATAAGTAAGAAATGTTATGTGCAAATAATGCTGTTATGTCTTAAACGCCAATGCTATCACCCCAAATATGATACCGACAAATTCATCTGGACTTCTTATATTTTTCTGCTTACAACTTACTTTTATTATTTTAACATGCCGTATTATGTGCTCCAAAATTCAGATCTGCATTTTTTTTTACCTTAACTTCCTTACATTTTGATAGTTACTAGAATCATTGCTCTTGATTCGTTGAGCATATCACGTGATCAGAATTTTAAAAATTCAAGTGACTGCTAATCTATAGTCATTAATCTGGACTTGTACATAATTTCCCGCTTTGCAACTTACTTTTATTATTTTATTATGCCGTATTGTGTGCTTCAAAAGGCAAATGTGTTTTAATGAACTGAAGAACTACTCTGCATTTTATTTATTACTAGTTTCATCACTCCTGATTGGCTCAACATCTCACGTGATCAGAACTTTAAGAATTTATATCACTGCAGATCTGTCCTCATTAATCTGTACTTCCATATAATTTTTTGCTTTGCTAATCACTTTTGTTATTTTGTCATGCCTTATTGTGTGCTAAAAATGCAGATATGATCTTTATGAGTTTGAGGAACTACTCTGCATTTTGTTAATTACTAGTGTCATCGCTCCTGATAGATTGTTCATCTCACGTGATCAGAAGATTCAGGTGGCTGCTGATTCATCCTCCGTGCTTTGGTAATTTATTTATTATTGCTGCAGTATCTTTAAAGACTTTAATAACTCCTAGGACAGTAAGGCCTTTTTATGTACCCCACATGACTTTTCGCTTCTGGAGGTAACTACATGCCTAGTGGAAACGAGTTCCCACTATGTGCTATTAGCTAGTGTATTAAAGATGTTTCTTTGATGATTTTGATTGTTAATAGTTTTTGTTGTATTTTAATCCAGAAATAAAGGTTTTCAGCTTTGAAATTCACAGGCCTGATTTTCGTGATAGTTTGTGATATGAAAATATTACAGACGTTATTACTGCAAGCCATTGGTCAAATGTGGAAGCTCCTTCCTCAGTTGGGATACGAATGTGCATTTGCAAATTTCGTAGTCCGGCTAGCAGTTTCGGGATAGCAATCAAGCAGTTATCGGCTTTTCGACTCTCCGCGGCATCATAATTGGTATAAGGTATTTTCTCCCTCTTTTCTGCAAGCCTTCGTGGTGTAACGGTAGCACACTCGGCGCGTTTTCGAAAGGTCCAGGTTCGAGTTCCGGCGAGGGCATTATTCATTTTTCATATTTCCTGCTTAAAATAACGTAATGTTCCTACAGCGGCGTCCGAACTGAAAGCTGGTGGATGAAGATTCTTCACCAACAGGATTTGGCGATCGGCTCCCCTAATCTCCAGTTTAAAAGGGGGAGTATATAAGGTATTTTCTTCCTCCTTTCTGCGTGTTCGTGATGTAAATGGTAGCACCCTCAGTGCGTATTCGTGAGATCCAGGTTCGAGTTCCGGCATTTTTCATGTCCTTCAAAATATCCTGTCTTTGTAGTGGCCCCTGAACTAAAAGGTGGTGAATGATGATTCATCACCACCAGGATTTGGCGATTGGGTTCCCTAATCTCCAGACTCCCTTTGAAAGGGGGGGTATATAAAGTATTTTCTTCCTTCTTTCTGCATGCCTTCGTTGTGTAACGGCAGCACACTCAACATGTATTCGAGTGGTCCAAGTTCCAGCCCCGGCGTCATTTTTAACGTTCTCAGCATTTAAAAAAAAAGTAATGTTTCTACAGGGGTTTCTTGTTTTGAGTAATGTAATAAACGCTACAAAACAACTGCATGTTTTTCGATTTGGATTTAATCTTATAATTTTACTTCCTTACTAAGGCATTCTCTTCGCAAAGGTTTTTGTGGTTCATTCCCCTACGAATTGAGTCTATTTCGCTGAGAAATAGTGTTAACAGTTAATTTAATATTCAACGTATTTGTTCGATACGTAACAATGCCAAGATTTATTTTCGAAGCATTCGCAAATCGACTGCATTTCGAAGCAGTGTAACTCGTTTGAGATTCCACGCACAAATTGCGCATAAATGCTTACATATTTGAACCTTTACATTTCTGCTCTAATAAGTACCGTTACCGCTAATAATATGATTGAATAACACGTAGATTTGACAATAGCTGCTCATTATTGTTAAATCTGAAAGGGATAATTTAGATTAGCCCAGTATAGTTAACAATATATACATAAATTAAAAAAGCTAATTGAATGATGAGCTCACAGAAGTGACTGAAGTGAATAATCTATAAATATTATACTTACGAAAGTTATCATACGAACGCACACCGAGATGTAGTTGACGTTCGCAACCTGATTCAGCAAGTATCTGTCACTGTAAAGCAAGTAAAAACCTTCTGCTCCCGCACACAAGATTAGAAGGAAGGTAAGGGTCTGAAAAAAATTGAAAAATCGGGATTTAGATAATGCACTGCAAACAAATGAAGTAAAAATCACATAACCTTTTTTTTTCACTCAACAAAGAGTCTGTGCTAATAAGTTTCCCGCTTTTTTTTTTTTTTTTTTTTTAAAGAATGGGGGGTTAAGAAATTATGAAATATAAAACTACCTTAATAATTAAATTGTTGTGAACAAATGCACGTTATAGTGCAATGAACTCAAAGCAACTTTATGCGGCCCACCGATTACATTTTAATTAGGCTTTTGTAACAAATACAGTGTTGCAAAGATGTCAAGATTTTTAATTATTTGAACTCCGTCATTTTCATGACCATTAAAAACGAATGTGAATGACTCACGAAAAAAATCTACAAATTGAGTTAATTAGTGTACAGTTTGATATAAATTTTATTCAAAGATTTGAAGATGCAGATTTGATTAATTTATTAACTTTATTCGTACTTGTCAAAAACTAAATGTGTTCAGTTACGAATTTTTGAGCTAAGAATAATCGCTTTCTGTGGAAGTGCGTTTATATATGAACAACTCTTTTTTTTTTTTTTTTCAATTGCACATTGATAAGCAAAAAACTCGATTTATGGATGAGCATCTACAATCCATGATGAAGATAATTTCTAGTAATTTTTCTTCAAGGCTACCATCTTTATGAAAATCAAAACATTATCAGGTGTCAAGCTGTAGTAAGAAGTAAAGGAGTTTGTAATTGTTTAGATAGAAAAGTGTGTATTTTAATTTATGCTTCGAAGAAAAATTTAATAAATAAGATAAAGAAACTAAGTTGCCTTGATTTTTTCGCAATTTTTGTCTCGCTTGGAAAGTTTTCATAATTTTTTACTTTCTTGTACGAAGTAAAAAGGAAGTATTGTAATCGCGAAAAGCTTCAGGGAACGAAATATTTCAACGAAAATATCCACTTTGACCGCTTTCGAAAGCAATATAACGATGTTTTTGCATGATATCTGTACGTAAGGACAGAATAAAAGACTCTTTTCCTCCAAAGAAACTTAAAAGGAACTGCTTAAAAATGAATTCTGAAGAGAATTTTTCGTGGCGTCTGTACGAACGTATGTACGTACGTATGTATCTCGCATAACTCAAAAACGAGTTGCCTCAGAACGTTGAAATTTTGTATCTAGGGACTGCTATAACATGTAGATGTGCACCTCGTATTTTGGTTGCAATCGGCCGCACCAAACATATATAAATATATTTATATATATATCCACTCTGTTACCCGGCTCAGTGATCTCAGTTTCTTTACTCTTATATGTTTGTAAATTGTACATTTTTTGCTTTAAAAATAATTGTATTATGTTGTTTTTATCTTCTGGTTAAGGTTTTTATGCCTTTAGTAAATCTGTGTGCAATATTTTTAGAATTATCAACACTTTTAAACTTGTCTAAGTGCAACTAAGCCTTTTTTTTTTTTATGGCGGCCATTGATGTTTACATTTGAAACAGGAAACTAGTGGATTTGTTGCCAATCTAGAGAAACTTAGCTTCGCAACAACAAAGATAATGCATTCATTTATTATTGCCAATTAAATCATGCTTAATCCTTTCTGGAATTTTTTCGAGGAAATAAGCGTTTAAGATTTACTTCGTAATTTTTAATACAGATATTTTGAGTTTTTATGTATTTTGCCTTGTCGCGAAGTGAGAAACTGAATTAATTGAATGAGAAATACTGAATCGTCTGTGAAAAACTGTTTCCTTTTTGTTATTATTGTTGTTCTTTGCTTAATTTCTTTTATACATCAGTTTTAGCTTTATTATAGTATTTGAATAGAACATGTGGCAACGATTAGATAATTCTTTAAATGATATAAATTTTGTGCATTCTGAGTTATAATATGAACGAAATATAATACTGTTAAGTGAATCTAGCGCCAGAGTGTCGCTATGGTAAACAAAGTGAATTTTAAAGAATGCATTTATTCTATTGTGGTTTATGCGCTGTCGGCGAAGTAGGTTTAATTTAATCTAATAAGTTTAAATGAAATGCAAAAAAAAAAAAAAAAAAAAAAAAAAAAAATGCGTATAATTTAATATTTCGTACAAGGAAGTCATGTGGTGTACATATCAGATTTTTTTATTTAGTTCAAAAATTAAGTAAGTTGATTAATGATTAATAAAACATATTAGAATTATTTGAAATAAATGTAATCTAAAATATTAATATTTAGCTATCAGTATATTTGAATTACGAAGTTTTACTAACAGAATGTCTTACAGGTACCAAATTTTAGATTTCAGGTAGAAAATAAATGTTTTCTACCTGAAATCTTGTTTGGCACTGAAAGCTAAAAATTGGTAAAACAACTTGAATTCTTTTCCTTTATTAATTTTATGGTTTATGTATGTTTTAATAAATATTTAGTAAGTGCAGTTTAAAATTTAATTAAAATAATTTTTATTGCGTTAACAAAAATTTTTAATTTTGCTAAATAAATAAATAAATAAATAAAAATGTTGGCATGTCTCTGATTTTCAGATGGTGTAATTTGGCTTGCAGGCAATTTGATTTTTGTTTGTTTTTTTGTTTTGAGGAAGGGGTTGTTTACGATGACACACACAATGGTATCCGCCAAAAAGAGAGATGCTGTGTAAAATTTATCTTTTGAGACCACTGTTATAGTGCTAGATAAGCAAGGGGAACTATAATGGCTTTCTTGATTTTATTGTACAACTATATCTTCGCCCAGAGGGGATATTGGTTAGTGATGCTGACTGGGATCTGGGTAGTTAGTGATGCTGATTGACCCTCTGAGAATGAAAATCCAAGGGCCGAGTTTGATTTCTGGAGAAAGTATGGGATGTTTCTAAACGTATATTGTCTGTGCGGTCAGAAGACACTCAAATTACACAGCGAACCGAACTCCTCTGGAGACGTTGATGGCAGGGAATAAGGGTGGAAGGTACTCGAACCGTACCCCAGGGTATTCTCACTTGGAATTCACTCCGAGGCAGAAGCTTAGCAGTTAGCAAGGCTCTGCAATATTTAATATGCTTACCTTGATGAGGCAACGTCTCTGCTGGAACATGTACAACTGCATCGCAGAAGAAAAGAACAGGGTAACATGCCAACGAGTAACGACGCTGGGTTGAATTATTTTATGGATTTTACAAATTCTCGGTTCAATCGCCAGTCATTACGCGGCAATGATCAATTCAATATTGTTTGTTCCACGTTAAGGTAAAGTATTTTAGTTTCCATTAAATCTTGGGACAATAGCTACAAAGTATTCTGTCTAGAAGGAAAACTTATGTCTGTAAGCTAAGTAAAGTAGTATCCTAAAGATGATCGTCAGAGCTTTATATCGTAAAGGGTACCTTTCACTGAGGCCAGCTTGAACTACCCTTTGAAAATTACGGAAGTCTTGTAGGTTAATGAAGCTGAATACCATATTGCCAAGATTGGATGATTGCCATATCACCAAGGGCTGACGTATCGAGCAGTTGTTGGATCTACAAACATTACGTTTACCATATCATGAACTGTACACTTTAATTCTACCTAATACAATATAACGGTACATTAAAACATTGGAAACCATTGCACTGGAAACCATCCTTACATTAAAACATTGGAAATCTTCCTTACATTAAACAAACACAAATGGCGTGCACAGGTTGTGTACAACGCTTGCTAAATAGCACAAAGAAACAATTATTTTTACTGGAGAACTTTACTTTCTTTTCTTGTGTCTTGTTACGTAGTTAAAAAGGCAAGATAAAATTCAGGGTGGACATTATTAACACAGTTGCTTTTCTTATTTTTTTCTAATGTTAAAAGAAAGAGACACGTTTCGTACCAGTTTCGCAACACTGAGAAACGTCCATGGACTCGGTGAGCTTTTGATAGTACTCTCGGCTCTGCTACATATCGCCGTGAAAAGAAATGCTGTCCAGAGGAAAAGACAAGGCAGGTTGATCAGAACTAATTGTCTAAAACAGTTTGTCACTTGAGGAGACGAGGCGTTCCAGAAAGAATCCCAGTCCTAAAAAGAACAACCGATTTATAAAACATTATAGCAAAAAATTCAATCTATAATTATTTTTTTAAAAAAAGAGCTACATTGTACTGCCTCCTCAGCAGCTAATGCATTTTTAAAAGCTGCACTAAGTAGTGTAAAAATTATTAAGAAAATTTACGATATTTTCAGCTTAAAACAGCTACTAAAATATTATAGTTAATGAATGAGCATTTATAATGACAAACATATACAAGTATTTTTCAGTACACAGTTACGTACAATCTTATATCCAAAATCATAATAAAATTATCACTTAATTACTTACCATATTGCATAATGTAAATTTCAGTAGCTCATTACCTAGCAAAATGAAAAGTAAATTTAACTCGAAGTTCACCGAAGTCTTTTTATTATTTCTGTTCCTGTTTCAAATACTCAACAGCAAGGAAATCGGAAATGAATTAATTATGATGCTTTTCTTCGAGATACTCGAGTTAGCTTATAGAGAATAGGAAGGCTCGAATAAATACTGCTCGTCAAACTTAAAGGATACTGACAAAAATAAAAAATTCTAAGGTTTTTTTAATTTAAATAACTAGCTGTTTTATGTTTTGAATTTTTACTGTTACTTCTCTGTTTCTGTTTTCTCGCCAAAATGCAAATGAGCTCGCGTATATTTAAAGAGAGGATTTGAGATTGTTAAGTTAGAGCGTGTTCTGCCTCTTGAAGGCCACGTTAGTAGATTTGATATTCTATGATAAAGCTTCCTATCTTCGGTTTTGCACTATACTTGCCAATAGTTAAACTGACGCCAGTGGAGTCCGAGACAACATCGCGGAAAATTACTCTATGTAGCCTTCGACTATTTGTTATTTAAATTTATCTTTACATTTGAATTCCTACTCTGAATTCTCGCCATAATTGCTGGCAGACTTATAAGAATCAGGACAGCCTTCTGTTCATCTTATAAGGTATTTTCTCCCTCTTTTCTGCAGGCCTTCGGTAGCACACTCTGCGCGTATTCGAGAGGTCCAGGGTTCGATTCCCGATGAGAGCATTACGGATTTCTTCAGTTTTCTGACATTGAAAAATTCTAAGTTACTGTACAGTGGTGCCCGAACTAAAAGGGGGTGGATGATGATTCTTCACTACCAGGACTTGGCGAGTGGGTCCTCTTAATCCCCAGTCGCCCTTTAGAAGGAGGAGTATATAAGGTATTTTCTCCCTCCTTTCTGCATGCCTTTGTAGTGTAACGGTAGCACATCCGGCGCGTATTCGGAAAGTCCAGGTTCGAATCCCGGCAAGGGTATTGCTCATTTTTCACGTCTCCAGCATTCACAGACAAAAATAAAAAGAAGAATTGTAAAGATGAAGATTGATTGTAAAGATAAAGACTTTACATTCTTATTAAGTTTTAAATAAAAAATCTTTTACACCTTTTTCAAGTTTCTGTTATACTTCAGACGTACAGATAAGCAGTTTAACATCTACCAAAAAGTTGGTCATGATTTCCGGTAGTGAAAGGTTTAAAACCTTATTGAAAAACGCTTACAGATGTTTTGTACAAAAGCATTACAGTAAAATCTCTCGTAACCAGCACCCAGTTAACCGGCAATATCAAAATAGCAGCAATTTGGAAGGTATAAATTTAAATCCGAAATTTAGCCCCGAGATTTAAAAAAAAAAATAGTATCAAATGGGCTAATACGCTGAAGATTTAAATGTGAAAAATATTTACCTTACGTTTCTCCTATCCAACGTAATAATCCAGCCAATGGATTAATGAATTATCTAGAATATAAAGATGAACTACTGATTTTTATGCGTCCATGTGTCAGAAGTAAGGTAGTGTTCATAACTTTCAGAAATAATTCAAATTGAAAGACGTCATATTTACTTGATCTTTTTACGTTATTACTTTACGTCACACATAGAAACATTACTTTACGTCATTGTTGACATAAATTGTGACTTAGTATCATGGCTGTCGATGACAAGCTGAGTCGCGAACATTCTCTTAGTTTTAAAAGATATTCGGCTCCCGTAGCCGACAGCTGGATTTAGTTTTATGTTTGGAGTATTAGTGAAAAGGTGATGTATATTTGAATTGATGTAGACAATTCCGTATCTCTCAAGCTGATAATGGAATAATTGAACATCTACTGGAAAAGGAGAAAAGTGATATGGAAGAGGGGTAGGAAGAAGATGACATGCGTAATATGACATGTATGTCATTGGTCAGATTTTGTCGAGAAATATTCATCTATGTCAGTAAACGATATTATGAAACTTCACACTACTCAAAGCGAATTTTCAAAACTACAGTGACTATCTTGTAAGCAAGCAGACATTTGAAGTTGTATGCTATCACACTAAGAAAATACTGGTAACTTTCGTGTGATTAAAAAATGTGGAAATTTTAAAATGATTCATTTTGTTTTTCTGAACTATGTAAGGATTTATTTATTTTTATTAACCAGTTATGTTATGTAACTAGCTTTTTTGTTTTCCTAGCTTTCCGTTTTCCTGCCAAAATGCTAAAGGAAGGTTTTAGATTCTTGAATCAGAGCGTGTTCCTTCTGTTGAAGGCTACGTTTTTAGTTGAATCTCTTGTTAGTAGTATGTCTGCCGCGTTGCGTTATTCTCGCCATTAGACTTGTAAATTAGGTTTCAGCCAACTGCCCGCATACTTTCTGTATAACCTTTGGCTGCATAGTTTAGTTATAAATTGAATTCATTACCTTTTAAGTTACGCCATAAATGCTGGCTGGTTTTGTAAGCATAATAAGTGGCTTCTGTTAAATTAAATAAGTTTAATAAAAGGGACTTTTACACCCTTCTCATTTTCCCTGTCTTCTTACTTACTGAACATAACGATAATTCGCTTAGATCTCAGATATGAGTCTCAAGTAGTTAATGTTTGCAAAGAAAGTGAGGCTCTGCAAATATAAAATAATGTACACATGTTTTAATTTTACATAATTTGCATGACTTTTATGTCATTTATTTAATTGTGGTCGATGGAAAAAAAACAAAAAAAAAAAAAAAAAAAAAAACCAATCAACAGACTTTGCTTGCGCAGTTTCAATAGATGATATCACAAAACAAGAAGTAAATTTTAGAAATATGTATTCAGTTATCCGTAAAAATCTTTTTCCCGGAATCAGAGAGGTCCCTTTGTTGCCAGATATGAGGAGTTCCAACTATATTTAACTTAAACATGCTTTACAATTGATTAATTTTAATATATTGAATTTAAAATCAATTTGATGAAAATTTAAGCATGATGGAAAAATTATCTCTGTTTTCCAATAAATCTTTCTTTAATATGGTGTATGGTCACCTTTGACAGAAATGAAAAGTTCACGTCTTGATTTCACAGAATTTACTAAACTGTCAATCAGATCTTGTAGAACTACACACTACTTTTCGGAAAGGGCATTTTTCCGCTTAAGAGGTTCAAGGGTGGCTTTTGGTGCTCCGAAATTCGGCGACCTAAGACATCCCACACATGCCCAGTTGGATTCAAGGTCTGGTGAGTAAACTGAGCAATCCATTCGCGTAATATATTCTACACAGACTACCAATAAGTATTTGGACACCTGTGATAGAAAAGAAAAACTAACTTCATTCAAAATCAATAGTTGGTAGAGCCTCCACGAGAGGTATTTTACAGCGTAGACCCTCCGGGGCATACTTTCCATAAGTCTTTGTATGACAGCTAGTAGTATTTTGGAGAAGACATATAAGTCACTTCACCGATTTTGCAAGGGTAGTGCACCCCTGAATTCGGCGATGCAACCCGTCCCAGAGGTTCTCGATAGGGTTCAGGTCTGGACTCTGAGCAGGCCAGTCCATTCGATGAACCCATTGGCACCATACCAAGCCTTGGTTAACGTCGAAACATGACAACTGGCATAGCCGTCCTGAAAGTAACAGGGGTCCAACCCGTAAAACTGCCACAACGTAGGAAGCACATTGTCATCCAAAATAGTGCAGTAGGCATCGGAGTTGAGCTTACCATGAATGGGGACCAAGGGTCCCAGCCCATACCAGGAGAAACACCCCCAGACCATAATTCCACCTTCGCCGAGCTTGACTGTTGGCACAATGCATTCTGCCAGGAGACGTTCTCCAGGTAGACGCCAGACCCAGACCCTGCCATCCGAACTGTAAAGGGTGAACCTTGATTCGTCACTCCAAAGAACCCGTTTCCATTGATCTGCGGTCCAATTTTGATGTGCTTTGCACCACATTAACCGAGCAGCGCGGTTGGACTTTGTGATCAAAGGCTTATGGGCAGCAGTACGACCATGAAAACCAAGCAGATGTGCTTCCTTACGGATGGTATTCATTGAAACAATACTCCCGGATGCCTTTTGAAACTCCTCGCGGATGAGGGCTATCGGTTGGGTGCGGTTCTTCCGAATTTCTCTGAACAGCACTCGTCGGTCTCTATCCCCCAGTTTCGTTGGTCTGCCGACTAGGGGCAAATTCCGACAATCAGCCCTCACCTTCCACTTCTTAATCACATAGGCCACTGTCGATATTGGGTACTTCAGATCGCTAGATATGTCCCTTAAGGATCGGCCACATTTGTGATACCCGATAGTTATACTTTCTCGAAATCAGAGAGCTCCGAACTGCGAGGCATCTTGCATGCGACTAAAGCCGATGCTGTTTCCTACACGATATATACCGGCGGAGTCCGTGGCGTACCTTGGGACCGCAGATATCGTCATTTGCATAGGTTTCCAAATACTTATTGGTAGTCAGTGTATTTCCGAGTATTTTTACACAAGGAAAGTAATAATAGTAATAATAAACAGAAGTTTAAATAACAGGCAGAAAGTACTAACATTTAAAAATATCAATAAAAATGCAAAATACGAAAAATAAATAAAAGTCGTAAATTAAAAAATGAAATTAATGAAGCCAGAAAGGAAAGGAATTGCGAAACTTAATGCTTACATGAAAAAGAAAAATAAATCGATTTATTCATATATGGCATAAAATATAATAGC